ACAAAACCACATGGACAGATAAACATAACCAGATTCTGCATGGTCTCATAGATGACTTGTTAACTGAAAAGGTGATGGCTTACCCTGACTGGGAAAAAGAGTTTGTATTGCATGTTGATGCCTCTCAAGAAGGACTGGGTGCCATTCTGTATCAGTCACAGGAAATTAGAAAATTAGCTGTTGTTGCATATGGATCACGATCACCGTCTCCAGTAGAAAAGAACTACCATGCTCATTCAGGGAAGTTGGAGTTTCTTGCTCTAAAATGGGCAATAACAGAATGGTTCAGGGACTATTTGTACTATGCACCCATCTTCACAGTCTTTAGTGACAACAACCCTCTGACTTATATTCTTACTTCAGCTAAGCTGGATGGTACCAGACACAGATAGGTAGCAGAATTGGGTGACTATAAATTTTCAATTAAATACAAGCCTGTGAAGAAGAACTCTGTTGCAGATGGACTGAGCAGAATTCCATCAGATATTGACAAGTATATGTCTGAGTGTGTCTGTGAAATAATTCAAGAATCAATTGAAATGTCAAATCAGGTTACCAATGCTAGGGAAGAGGGTGACATTGTCTGGATTTCATCAATTACTGATGACCATACTTGTCTTTCTGAAGTTGTCTCCTCTTCCGGCTGCAAGCCTACTTTCCATTGTTTTAGTGCTGAACAAGACGATGAACACATCAGACCAGTATTGAAAAACAAACAGAAGAAAAGGACACCCAATAGAATGACTAAACACAGGACAGAAACTATGGACCTGTTCCGGGAATGGAGGAAACTCTTTCTTAATATGGATGGCGTTCTGTGTAGAACAGTGTTGTATGGCAGTGAAGAAAGGACTCAAATAGTACTTCCCCAGCAACTTAGAGCACTTGTGTTAAAAGAACTTCACAATGAAATGGGGTACGTTGATTCAGAAAGAGTTGTGGCACTGGTGAGAGAGAGATTATTTGGTCTCGCATGCAAGCTGATGTTGAATGTTATGTCACTAAGGAATGCACTTGTCTCAAAGACCGCACGCCAACAATTCCAACAAAAGCACCCCTGAAACCAATATCAACATCTGCACCCTTTCAATTGGTGTCTATCCACTTTCTTCATTTGGAAAGAAGCACAGGTGGCTATAAGTACATTTTAGTTGTCTGCGACCACATTACTAGATTTGCACAAGCATATGCAACGCGAAACAAGTGAAGACTGCTGCAGAGAAAATTTTCAAAAACATTGTGCTCAAATTTGGGTTTCCAGACAAACTGCACCATGATCAAGGCGCAGAATTTGATGAAAAGCTTTTTCATCATCTGCAGAAATATTGTCGCAAGGCGAGAACAACTCCGTATCATCCAGAGGGGAATGGACAGGTAGAACGCTTCAACAGAACTTTGTTGGGTATGCTTCGTACCTTTCCCAGCAAAATGAAAAGTAACTAGAAAGATCATTTAAATAAAGTAGTCCAAGCAATACAACTGCATGCGAAATGATGCCACCGGTTACTCACCTTTCTTTCTACTCTTTGGGCAATCACCTAGTACCAGTGGACCTAATGTTTGGACTTGGTAACAAAGATTTAAACAGTGATCCTAACAAATATGTGAACCAGTGGCGACAATGCATGCAACAAGCATATGATCAAGCAAATGTGATTGCCGATGAGAATGCATGAAAGGGAAAGAAGCAATATGATAAAGAAACATGTCTGAAAGAGGTGGTCCGGCAAAGTTGAAATCTTATTGGGAACCAAAGATTCACATTGTGAATAAGTCATTTGTGGGTAAAAGTCCTGTATATGAAGTGAGACCTGAAGATGGAATTGGAAGGACTAGAGTTCTACACAGAAACATGTTGCTTCCTTGTGATGGACTTCCAGTTGACAAGATTGTTGACAGAGCAAAAGCCCACAAAGCTGGAACTCAAACGCTCCGGATGAAAAAGCACATTGTCGATTATGAGCAGTCAGGGACGGACAGTGATTCTTCAGAAGGCAGTGGCCAAGTGGAGATCGATGTGAAGGAAGTTCATCCTGAGAAGCATTTTGCTGCGTCAGAAAATGCCAATGAAACACAACACCCAGTATCAAGTCGGTCGACGGATCATGGTTCTAGTAGTGTTGAGGATCAAGATGATACTGATGTGAGTGCAAGTGAGCAGTCACTAGATGGTGACAATTCTGTGAGGACCTGTGACCAAATAGATCTACAGCTACAATCAACAGAGAGTGAGGAAGAGTCCACAGATTTTCATTATGCCGATGATGAAGCAGAGGTGAGGAAGTCACAACGACGAAAGAAATGTCCTGTCAAACTGACATATGCCACACTAGGAAACCCAACTGAAAACAAACATGAACCTTTTGCGACTTGCATGTCCTGTGGTACCTGTTTCATGGTATTACCCATACCAAATACTGTTAACACCAGTGATACATTACCCATGGTTCCATCCAGAGAGACCTTTACAAGTGATGACCTAACATTGAAACTTCACTATGAGCACAATGGTACGACCTTAATATGTATGGGTTGCCTTATGGGAAGAGACATCCAAGTTTGTTGTATTTAGTACAGTCTGAAGTACAAAAGGTATTTCCACTTAGAATAACATTATGTAACAGTAAAAGGTTTGCAGTATTGTTTGACTGGACGTCTAGCAGAATTGTTGCCTTCAGTGTCAAATATCGTAATAAATGTTCACTACAGGTTGTACACTTTGAAAGTGGTATTTTGCTGCCACTGAGGAACTTATTTGCCACTGAGGAACTTATTTCTTAATATTTTAAGTAGTTCTTTCTGTTAATATGTTTTCAAAACTATTGTTGAAGTTGTATTTGTAGTTCGCATACATATCTGTTGAAAAGTCGGGCCGATATTTTTTTTTATGGGGGGCAAATGTAAGAAAGTGAAATAATGATAATGTCCATGGTCAAAGGGAAGTAACTCTTTGGATGGGTGCGCTACCACCCGAAGGTCAACTGACCAATCAAAATTGCCGGTTTGCTTTGGGCTGTATGCCGTTGGAAAATAAATAGTGACCTGACATCTCTCTCTCTCCCTGTTTTAGGAATGTATGCATTAATATTGGTCGAAATAAGGCCGTCTTGTATCACATATTGTAGATAACAATGCTAGGACATAGGTTGTAGGTATTCTGTCAGAGGTAGCATCGTACATTTGTTGTATTTTTGATTTATCGAGCCAAGCAGAAACCTCACGGTTAGCGTTAGACGTTCCGTCATTGACTGATTGTGTTTCAGAGGCCTTTGACTATTAAAGGAATGTAATTCCCATTTTCGGTATGGGAATAGAATTCTAATAGTTTTGGTTCAGGAATAGAATAGTTGTTTTAACTTTTAACATTAAATATTCGCCAATGCTTTTTAAACTCTGGTTGTCACCCATTTTCGGGGGTCAGTGACCGCATTAGCTAGATTCAGGGGAAGTAACCCTTATCTTGTTACATTCCTGAAAGCTCATGTCCTTGTCATGTTTGTTATTGTTTTGATTTTGAATTATGACCGCTCAATTCAGTCTTTTTTATTGTATTCAGTTAGTAACTGCTGCTGTATTATATATGTACCATATTCGACATGATAAGGACCCAGGGCACTCTCATAATTTGAAATAGGAGACTCTTATTAGAATACAATTTTTGTGGATTAAAAAAACACATTTGAAAGATCCTAAATTTCGTGGTTTATGCTGACAGCCTTAAATGATACAAAAGAAAAGTCTGTGTGTATTATACACAACAGATATATTTTTCCAGAATTTAATTGCCCATAATTAAGGGTGCATATAATACACAGGTGTGTATTATACACGAATAAAAAAGTCTTGTGTACATTAGGGAATTGGAAGGAATTGGGATTGTTCGCTAGCCAATATATTAGCAAATACCGCCATGGGTGCTTATAAGAGCGGGGTGCTTATTAGGCCGAATACGGTAATAAGTTGGCATTGTTGTACTATTATTCTATTTACATGTAACAGACTTGAATGTCCAAATATGTAATCAGTGATTGGTCAGATTATGCATATTGTTGCATTAAATACACAATCCGGAAGTAATGTCTTTTTATAAAGCCTAATGGAATAGTGTAAAAGTTTTCCTTGGAGCCTTGGAAACACAATGCTGTGTGGCCATGACATTAATCCGGTGTCGGAAAGAACTCGACAAAATGATTTGTGGTACATTTTGTGGTACAACGTCTGCCACACTCCATGCATTAATTCCCCATGGTGGTCAGAAGTTATGTATTATTCGTGGTACAACTTTCTACTCCATGATTTGTTTATTACCAAACATTTTGCAAGTAATATATTTCCTAAATATTGTAATGAATGCGCCAACAGTCCTAAAGGAGGACTCACTCACATATTCATGAGTTTCACATATTTTCTTATCCTAAAAAATCTCCTGTGAAGATTAAGTAATGTCCAGTCAGTATGTGAGTGGATGTGACGTTCAGAATGTTAATTTCTTTCCAGAATTAAATAGGTTAAACACCTGTTCAAATGGTGCACCTGCGTGCCGTCGCAGATGTAGCAGCTGTTTATGGACTACATGTGTGATCACCATGCATTAGTGAGTGAGTGAGTTGGGTTTAACGCCGCTTTTAACTGAATTCCAGTTATGTCACAGCATGTCAGCTTAATGTGGGAGGAAAGTGATGCAGGTCTGAGACGTTTACCGCTTTGGTGAAACCCACAAGCACGGGTATGGTTTTGACAAACCTAGAAACATAATCGGGGCGAACCAGGATTTGAACCCACAAGCATAGGTTTTTGGCGTGCCCAAGGGACGCAACTCTGGACAGCGAATCGCCTTAGTACTGGGCCACTGCGTCAAATCAAAACAAAACAAAATGTTGTAACAAATAATGTATTTCATTAACATAAAGGAAATAGCCAAACCAAACAGAGATAGATTTTATGTATTTCCCAAATATTGTAACAAATGCCTCAACAGTCCTAAAATGATTCAAAAATGTTTTGTATATAAGTATATACATATGTGTTCAGAGTTCACTGCCTAATCATCCTTCTTCTTAAACACACTCTTGACTCTTCTGAAGAAGTTGGCCACCCTAGATAGCAAGGCCTTCAGGAAGGAGTGGGTTGGCTGGATGATCTCCTCATCCACGAGATCTACTTCAACAAAGTCAGTGTCGTCCACGATGTACTGACCAGCGATAGTGAGGGACACAGAAGGGACAGTGCTGGGGCGAAGGGTCTGTGGGACGGGCAGGTGAGACAAGTGGGCAGGGATGGTCAGGGACTTTGAAGTGGGTTGCTATAGATAGGGAGGTAGTGGAAAGAATGGAATGTGAGGAAAGAATATTATGTAGATGGAAAAGGTTATACAATCATTGAATTCTATTGCAGCAAATAAAAGATTATGGTGGTAAAGACAGAAAAGGTGTGACAAAAGAAACAAGGTAAATAAAGATGATATATAGTAGATACCGAAAGGTAAATATTTGTTTGTTGTTTAAAAACGCCGCACTCAGCAGTATTCCAGCTACATGACGGCGGTCTGTAAACAATCGAGTCTTGACTAGACAATCCAGTGATTGACATCATGAGCATCTATAGTAAAGATGATGACTTGAATGATATTCTTGGAAATACAAATGTGACAAACTTTACAGAATTACTGAAGCCTTTGAACCAAAGTACTCTTAACATTCGTAATAGGGTTATATTAATTGCATACAGTTGGTTTAAGGTAGGAAAACAGTATAAACATTCAGTTACAGCTTTATGAAAACAGAGACCAGTACATAGAAGTGTTCAACATATCGGTGAAAACTCATGGAAGTGCTAAACAGGCATTGTTAAAGACAACCCTTTATGACACCTACATGGCAAGGGGCAGGATAAGTCAGTTGGGACAGAGGCTTGAGGAACCAGATCATCCGATCAACTATGGGGAAACAGAAGAATACACATACAGGTATTAAACACCCAGAATGTATGTTGCTGGTTCCTAATCTTTGGGTGATGACTAGTAAATTATATATCATTTTGCAGTTAATAAATTATTTGTGCTGACCGATAGGTTGTATATAGCTAAGCTTTTAGGGGTTCCTCTTTTCCAAAATGTTCCAGTTTTATGTTGGATAAAGGGTAGATCTAATTGTAATAACTAAGGGCAGCTAGCCTAGACACTGCAAAGTATATCTCCCTGTTACTTTATAACTTGAACCCCTCAGACAATATAAGGGATAATAAGTTACAGTTTACCTTTCACTGCTAAACTAAGTCTATTTGCTAAAATACAAGGGATTTTGCCTAGCCATACAATACTGATTTGGGCTCAGACTGCTGTGTCAGTTCTTAGAGTTTATAAGAAATCATGGGCAGATCCAGGTTTATAAAAAAGGGAGTGGGGGACAGGGGATGTTCCACTTGGGCTATTTGTAACTTCAGTAGGGGCAGTTCCCACCCAAAAAACTTCCCCAAGACTCACAAACTCTTCATGTAAACCACTGATAATACATTTACATTGTTCATTTTACATCCAAATCAACATGTTACCATGGTAGGAAAGGCGCATAAAGAATGTCATGAGATGTAAAAGACACAAGAACCCACATTTTATTATAATGTTTACAAGTTCAAGGTATACAAAGGTCCCTGCATTCAACAACTTAAGCCCCTAAAGCATGCAGTGTTTGAAGATACACACTACCTCATCACACTAATACACCAACGTGTAGGTACGGAATCTACTGAAGCGTAATTAGAATTGTACCTTGAACATAAGTGCTCGCATTCATGATGACAGGTTCAGGAATTGCAATTAAGGACAGGAAAATAACGCTTTCAGAACAGCCAAGTGCAGATGTAGCATTAAAAATGGCGTTGATGTAACATCAAAGTGACAACCGTCGTCAAGGAAGACATGAAGTCTCGTAAAATCACGCGATATTACAAAATAAAGTTAACTGGCTCTCGAATTCATTTACGCTTGCACTGGGGTGTTAGAGACGGAGCTCGGCTGTATTTTGAGGAGAGAAGTTTAGTCGCGCCATCATATAAATGAAGCAAGATTAATTATGAGCTGAAATAATTCCTCCAGGCACGATTCTGGGTGGTACTCGTTACTATTAAACCAGCAGCTTGTAAGGGTCCGTCAAATTTATGGCACGACAGTGACTAAAATCATACTATGGCTATTTTCATAACCAGCAATATAAGGGGTGCTCAGGATTTATTCTGACCGGGACCTCACGGGGACAGGTATATCGAGATGACAGGTACCATCAGCCGACCCTGCATGGTTGGTACACTAGTTTCAGGTCATGAGTATGGTTTTACGCCGCTTTTAGCATTATTCCAGCAATATCACGGCTGGGGACAACAGAAATGGGCTTCACACATTGTGCCCATGTTTGGAATCGACCCCAGGACCCTGTTCCACAAAGCGATCTTAGCGCTAAGTCGATCGGAACTCACTTTCTTTAACACTGACTTACGACAGTCATAGCGATAAGATTGCTTTGTGGAACGGGGTCCAGGTCTTCAGCGTGACGAGCCAACGCTTTAACCACTAGGCTACCCTACCGCCCCTTGAGGTCACTATCAGGTCATAACCAGGGGCATGTTCAACAATACTTTTGTTATGGAGTACATTGACTTGCTTGAACAGGATTAACATGACTTTACCCGAACAAAACACTTAAAACATTAAGTAGAAGACAGCTTTCATATTAGCCTTTTTCATTAAAGAAAAGATATTACATGGGGAAAAATATCAGGATATGAATATTTTAATTTAAGAAATATAAATTAATGTTGAAGCTTCGTTAAAAATTCAAAAATTCGATAAGTAATTAGAATAAGAGGCCCATAGGGCCTGTATCGCTCACCTGGATATTGACGCAATCATGACAAAATATACATTTGCATTGTACATGTATATAATACTCCAAATATTTCGTAATTTTGATTCTGTCAGCATTTAATATGGGTGGATGGCCAATCTGACAGCATAAACGTGTATTTATCTAGATACAAATGTGGCATAAAGATCTGAACCGTTTCCATGTTATGATCCAGGATATATCATATTTAAGGTATTATTCTCTTCATAACAAACAAATGTATACAATGTATCTGTTTATTATAGGCTGGGGATAACATCGGTTTGCAAGTTATGGTCAAGATTTCAACTCCTTTGGGAGTGCCGGACAGATGAACAGAAGGGCAAGTCCTTGTAGCATATGTGCATTCCTCTCATTATACTCTCAATTGTACATATGGTTATACGGTAGGAATCTTAACTGTGTCCAAGTTATAAACTCTTTTTAGCCCCGCCCCTTAGTCCCCGGGGTAGGGGGTAGGGTTCAGCCCCTCCATTTCTCCAATTTGAATCCCCACCATTGGAGAATACTTCCATCCAAATATGGTTAAAAACTATCTCTTAGTACCAGAGAGGAAGTCGTCTGAAGCAATATAGCCAAACTACCCCTATTTCGCCCCGCCCCTCAGCCTCTTAGGGGATGATCAGCCCTTCCATTTGTACAATTTTGAATTCTCACCACCAGAGAATGCTTCCAACAATATATGGTTGATATCTATCTCTTAGTTCTAGAGAAGAAGTCGTTTAAAGTAATATGGCCAAATTACGCCTATTTCGCCCCGCCCCTCAGGCTCTTCAGGGGTGATCAGCCCTACCATTTGTACAATTTTGAATTCTCACCACCCACCGGGGAATGCTTCCAACAATATATGGTTGATATCTATCTCTCAGTTCAAGAGAAGAAGTTATTTAAAACAATAACGCCAAATTACTCCTATTTGGCCCCGCCCCTCACTAGTTTGGGTGGGGGTGGGATGTCAGCCCCACCATTTGTACACCTAGGGATGCTTCCAGTCTAATTTTGTTAATTTCCAACTAGTAGTTCAGAAGAAGTTTAAAACGATAACGCCAAATTACTATTTGGCCACGCCCCTAAGCCCCTTAGGGTGTGATCAGCCCCTCCAATTGTACAGTTTTGAATCCTCACAACCGGAGAATGCTTCCACCCAAATATGATTGATATCTATCTCTTAGTTCTGGAGAAGAAGTCGTTTAAAGCAATATAGCCAAATAACGCCTATTTGGCCCCGCCCCTCAGCCCCTGGGGGAGCCCCACCATTTGTACAATTTTGTAATCCCACCACCTAGGGATGCTTCCAGTCTTATTTTGTTAATGTCCAACTAGTGGTTCAGAAGAAGAAGTCGTTTGAATAAATTGTTGACGGATGATAGACGGACGACGGACGCCACGGTATGGCATAAGCTCACCTTGGTCGGGTGGTCGACTGGTCGGCTCGGAGACAGTATACCGTGTCTGAATGGGTGTCAGTGTTAAACTGCGGCATGTTATCTGTGGACTAGCACTGTAAAACCGGCTAGTTCAAGGCAGCCACGCACGCACACACACACGTGCACGAACGTATGCGCGACGTTAAACCCCATTTCACCTCACCTCACCTTACCAAGGTGATATCCATGTTGAAATGTATGGATGAAATATGATAGGCGTTGCATCATAACCGTTTAGCCGAGTCCTTGCATCTATTCCAATCAATGTCATGATGTTATGACAAAATGTTCCCAAGCCTCCAAAATATTATTGGCAACACTGAACCATGAACACAGACTGCCAGAGATGGATACGCTCCTTCTCAACAGAAGGCGGTGGGTAGTCTATTGGTTAAAGGGTTAGCTCCTCATGCCGAAGACCCAGGTTCAATTGCCTACATGGGTACATGTGTGAAGCGCATATCTGGTGTCCCCCGCACTGATATTCGTGGAATATTGCTGAAAAAGGCGTAACACCGTACTCACTCACTCATTCGTTTTAAATTCATTTTACATGTTTGATTTGTATCCTGGGCCTACCAGGAATAGCCTGGTTGTCAAAGATGAAACATATTGCAACTGTACCAAAATGTAGACCATTTAGTCAACAAGAAATGTTGCAACCAGAGGATGTATTCATCTTCGTCAGCCTGTATGTTCATGGTACAGTGTTCATTGTACATTGTGTGCGTGCGTGTAACAATTGTTTGGAACCTTGGAAACACAATGCTGTGGGGCCATGACATTAATCCAGTGTCGGAAAGAACTCCACAAAATGATTTGTGGTACAACGCCTGCCACACTCCATGCATTAATTTCCCATGGTGGTCAGAAGTTATGTATTGCTCGTGGTACAACTTTCTACTCCATGATTTGATTATTACCAAACATTTTGCAAGTAATATATTTCCTAAATATTGTAATAAATGCCTCAAGAGTCCAAAGGAGGACTCACTAATTCATGAGTTTCACATATTTATTATCCTAAAAACACTTGTGTGAAGATTAAGTAATGCCCGTGTAAACTGCCCAGTATGTGAGTGGATGTGACGTTTGGAATGTTAATTTCTTTCCAGAATTAAATAGGTTAAACACCTGTTCAAATGGTGCACCTGCGTGCCGTCCCAGATGTAGCAGCTGTTTATGGACTACATGTGTGATCACCATGCGTTAGTCTAGAGTGAGTGAGTGAGTTGGGTTTAACGCCGCTTTTACCAGTATTCCAGTTATATCACGGCGTGTCAGCTTAATGTGGGAGGAAAGCCCGAAGTGATGCAGGTCTGAGACGTTTACCACTTCGGGGAAACCCACGAGCACGGGTATGGTGCTGACAAACCTAGAAACATAATCGGGGCGAATAGGGATTCTAACCACAATCATAGGTTTCTGACGTGCCCAAGGGACGCAACTCTGCACAGCGAATCGCGGCGCCTTTATAGACGACTTGGCCACCCGTGCCCCCTCAGAGTTTAAACAGCGTTGGTGAATACTTAATGTTAAAAGATCAGAACAACTATTCTATTCCTGAACCAAAACTATTAGAATCTTATTCCCATACCTAAAATGGGAATCACATTCCTTTAATAGTCAAAAAGTAAAAATACAATCTGTCCATGACGGAACGTCCAACGCTAACCACGAGTTTTTTGCTTGGCTCGATCAATCGAAATACAACAAATATACGATGCTACCTCTGATAGAATACCTACAACCTACTTCTTGGCATTGTTATCTGCAATATGTGATACAAGACGGCCTTATTTCGACCAATATTAATGCATACATACCTAAAAGAGAGAGAGAGAGATGTCAGGTCATAGTCTAGAACATAGACAGAAAATAGCAGAAAAGGAACAAATCAAAACAAAACAAAATGTTGTAACAAATAATGTATTTCATTAACATAAAGGAAATAGCCAAAACAAACAGAGATAGATTTTATGTATTTCCCAAATATTGTAACAAATGCCTCAACAGTCCTAAAATGATTCATAAATGTTTTGTATATAAGTATATACATATGTGTTCAGAGTTCACTGCCTAATCATCCTTCTTCTTAAACACACTCTTGACTCTTCTGAAGAAGTTGGCCACCCTAGATAGCAAGGCCTTCAGGAAGGAGTGGGTTGGCTGGATGATCTCCTCATCCACGAGATCTACTTCAACAAAGTCAGTGTCGTCCATGATGTACTGACCAGCGATAGTGAGGGACACAGAAGGGACAGTGCTGGGGCTAAGGGTCTGTGGGACGGGCAGGTGAGACAAGTGGGCAGGGATGGTCAGGGACTTTGAAGTGGGTTGCTATAGATAGGGAGGTAGTGGAAAGAATGGAATGTGAGGAAAGAATATTATGTAGATGGAAAAGGTTATTCAATCATTGAATTTTTACTGCAGCAAATAAAAGATTATGGTGGTAAAGACAGAAAAGGGTATGACAAAAGAAACAAGGTAAATAAAGATGATATATAGTAGATACCGAAAGGTAAATATTTGTTTGTTGTTTAAAAACGCCGCACTCAGCAGTATTCCAGCTACATGACGGCAGCTGTAAACAATCGAGTCTTGACTAGGCAATCCAGTGATTGACATGATGAGCATCTATAGTAAAAATGATGACTTGAAGGATATTCTTGGAAATACAAATGTGACAAACTTTACAGAATTACTGAAGCCTTTGAACCAAAGTACTCTCAACATTCGTAATAGGGTTATATTAATTGCATACAGTTGGTTTCAGGTAGGAAAACAGTATAAACATTCAGTTACAGCTTTATGAAAACAGACCAGTACACAGAAGTGGGTGTTCGACATATCAGTGAAAACTCATGGAAGTGCTAAACAGGCATTGCTAAAGACAAGCCTTCAGGACACCTACATGGCAAGGGGCAGGATAAGTCAGTTGGGACAGAGGCTGGAGGAACCAGATCATCTGATCAACTGTGGGGAAAAAGAGGAATAAACATACAGGGTACTAAACACCCAGAATGTATGTTGCTGGTTCCTACTCTTTGGCTGGTGACTAGTAAATTATATATGTATTATTTTGCGGTTAATAAATTATTTGTGCTGACAGATAGGTGGTATATCGCTAAGCTTTTAGGGGTTCCCCTTTTCCAAAATGTTCCAGTTTTATGTTGGATAACGGGTAGATCTAATTGTAATAACCAAGGGCAGCTAGCCTAGACACTGCAAAGTATATCTCCCTGTTACTTTATAACTTGAACCCCTCAGACAAAATATGGGATAAGTTACAGTTTACCTTTCACTGCTAAACTAAGTCTATTTGCTAAAATACAAGGGATTCAGCCAAGCCATACAATATTGATTTGGGCTCAGACTGCTGTGTCAGTTCTGAGAGTTTATAAGAAATCATGGGCAGATACAGGTTTATAAAAAAGGGAGTGGGGGACAGGGGATGTTCCACTTGGGCTATTTGTAACTTCAATACGGGCAGTTCCCACACAAAAGACTACCCCAAGACTCACAAACACTTCATGTAAACCAATGATAATACATTTACAGAATTCATTTTACAACCAAATCAACATGTTACCATAGTAGGAAAGGCGCATAAAGAATGCCATGAGATGTAAAAGACACAAGAACCTACATTTTATTATAATGTTTACAAGTTCAAGGTATACAAAGGTCCCTGCATTCAACATCTTAAGCCCCTAAAGCATGCAGTGTTTGAAGATCAGCACAGGAGCCATGATACACACTACAGACTGTACCTCATCACACTAAAATACCAACGTGTAGGTACAGAATCTACTGAAGCGTAATTAGAATTGTACCTTGAACATAAGTGCTCGCATTCATGATGACAGGTTCAGGAATTGCAATAAAGGATAGGAAAATAACGCTTTCAGAACAGCCAAGTGCAGATGTAGCATCAAAAATGGCGTCGATGTAACATCAAAGTGACAACCGTCGTCAAGGAAGACATGAAGTCTCGTAAAATCACGCGATATTACAAAATAAAGTTAACTGGCTCTCGAATTCATTTGCGCTTGCACTGGGGTGTTAGAGACGGAGCTCGGCCGTATTTTGTTGAGGAGAGAAGTTTAGTCGCGCCATCATATAAATGAAGCAAGATTAATTATGAGCTGAAATAATTCCTCCAGGCACGATTCTGGGTGGTACTCGTTACTATTAAACCAGCAGCTTGTAAGGGTCCGTCAAATTTATGGCACGACAGTGACTAAAATCATACAATGGCTATTTTCATAACCAGCAATATAAGGGGTGCTCGGGATTTATTCTGACCGGGACCTCACGGGGACTGGTATATCGAGATGACAGGTACCATCAGCCGACCCTGCATGGTTGGTACACTAGTTTCGGGTCATGAGTATGGTTTTACGCCGCTTTTAGCATTATTCCAGCAATATCACGGCTGGGGACAACAGAAATGGGCTTCAAACATTGTGCCCATGTTTGGAATCGACCCCAGGACCCTGTTCCACAAAGCGATCTTAGCGCTAAGTCGATCGGAACTCACTTTCCTTAACACTGACTTACGACAGTCATAGCGCTAAGATTGCTTTGTGGAACGGGGTCCAGGTCTTCAGCGTGACGAGCCAACGCTTTAACCACTATACCCTACCGCCCCTTCAGGTCACGATCAGGTCATAACCAGGGGCATGTTCAACAATACTTTTCTTATGGAGTACATTGACTTGCTTGAACAGGATTGACATGAATTTACCCAAACAAAACACTTAAAACATTAAGTAGGAGACAGCTTTCATATTAGCCTTTTTCATTACAGAAAAGATATTACATGGGGAAAAATATCATGATATGAATATTTTAATTTAGGAAATATAAATTAATGTTGAAGCTTCGTTAAAAATTCAAAACTGGTAATCAATGATCGATAAGTAATGAGAATAAGAGGCCCATAGGGCCTGTATCGCTCACCTGGATATTGACGCAATCATGACAAAATATACATTTGCATTGTACATGTATATAATACTCCAAATATTTCGTAATTTTGATTTTGTCAGCATTTAATATGGGTGGATGGCCAATCTGACAGCATAAACGTGTATTTATCTAGATACAAATGTGGCATAAAGATCTGAACCGTTTCCATGTTATGATCCAGGATAAATCATATTTAAGGTATTATTCTCTTCATAACAAACCAATGTATACAATGTATCTGTTTATTATAGGGTGGGGATAATATCGGTTTGCAAGTTATGGTCAAGATTTCCACTCCTTTGGGAGCGCCGGACAGATGAACAGAAGGGCAAGTCCTTGCAGCATATGTGCATTCCTCTCATTGTTCTCTCAATTGTACATATGGTTATACGGTTGGGATCTTAACTGTGTCCAAGTTATAAACTCTTTTTAGCCCCGCCCCTTAGTCCTCCGGGGTAGGGGTAGGGTTCAGCCCCTCCATTTCTCCAATTTGAATCCCCACCATTGGAGAATACTTCCATCCAAATATGGTTAAAAACTATCTCTTTGTACCAGAGAGGAAGTCTTCTGAAGCAATATAGCCAAACTACCCCTATTTCGCCCCGCCCCTCAGCCTCTTGGGGGATGATCAGCCCTTCCATTTGTACAATTTTGAATTCTCACCACCAGAGAATGCTTCCAACAATATATGGTTGATATCTATCTCTTAGTTCTAGAGAAGAAGTCGTTTAAAGTAATATGGCCAAATTACGCCTATTTCGCCCCGCCCCTCAGGCTCTTCAGGGGTGATCAGCCCTACCATTTGTACAATTTTGAATTCTCACCACCCACCGGGGAATGCTTCCAACAATATATGGTTGATATCTATCTCTCAGTTCAAGAGAAGAAGTTATTTAAAACAATAACGCCAAATTACTCCTATTTGGCCCCGCCCCTCACTAGTTTGGGTGGGGGTGGGATGTCAGCCCCACCATTTGTACACCTAGGGATGCTTCCAGTCTAATTTTGTTAATTTCCAACTAGTGGTTCAGAAGAAGTTTAAAACGATAACGCCAAATTACTATTTGGCCACGTCCCTAAGCCCCTTAGGGTGTGATCAGCCCCTCCAATTGTACAGTTTTGAATCCTCACAACCGGAGAATGCTTCCACCCAAATATGATTGATATCTATCTCTTAGTTCTGGAGAAGAAGTCGTTTAAAGCAATATAGCCAAATAACGCCTATTTGGCCCCGCCCCTCAGCCCCTGGGGGAGCCCCACCATTTGTACAATTTTGTAATCCCACCACCTAGGGATGCTTCCAGTCTTATTTTGTTAATGTCCAACTAGTGGTTCAGAAGAAGAAGTCGTTTGAATAAATTGTTGACGGATGATAGACGGACGACGGACGCCACGGTATGGCATAAGCTCACCTTGGTCGGGTGGTCGACTGGTCGGCTCGGAGACAGTATACCGTGTCTGAATGGGTGTCAGTGTTAAACTGCGGCATGTTATCTGTGGACTAGCACTGTAAAACCGGCTAGTTCAAGGCAGCCACGCACGCACACACACACGTGCACGAACGTATGCGCGACGTTAAACCCCATTTCACCTCACCTCACCTTACCAAGGTGATATCCATGTTGAAATGTATGGATGAAATATGATAGGCGTTGCATCATAACCGTTTAGCCGAGTTCTTGCATCTATTCCAATCAATGTCATGATGTTATGACAAAATGTTCCCAAGCCTCCAAAATATTATTGGCAACACTGAACCATGAACACAGACTGCCAGAGATGGATACGCTCCTTCTCAACAGGAGGCGGTGGGTAGTCTATTGGTTAAAGGGTTAGCTCCTCATGCCGAAGACCCAGGTTCAATTGCCTACATGGGTACATGTGTGAAGCGCATATCTGGTGTCCCCCGCACTGATATTCGTGGAATATTGCTGAAAAAGGCGTAACACCGTACTCACTCACTCATTCGTTTTAAATTCATTTTACATGTTTGATTTGTATCCTGGGCCTACCAGGAATAGCCTGGTTGTCAAAGATGAAACATATTGCAACTGTACCAAAATGTAGACCATTTAGTCAACAAGAAATGTTGCAACCAGAGGATGTATTCATCTTCGTCAGCCTGTATGTTCATGGTACAGTGTTCATTGTACATTGTGTGCGTGCGTGTAACAATTGTTTGGAACCTTGGAAACACAATGCTGTGGGGCCATGACATTAATCCAGTGTCGGAAAGAACTCCACAAAATGATTTGTGGTACAACGCCTGCCACACTCCATGCATTAATTTCCCATGGTGGTCAGAAGTTATGTATTGCTCGTGGTACAACTTTCTACTCCATGATTTGATTATTACCAAACATTTTGCAAGTAATATATTTCCTAAATATTGTAACAAATGCCTCAAGAGTCCTAAAGGAGGACTCACTCATTCATGAGTTTCACATATTTATTATCCTAAAAACACTTGTGTGAAGATTAAGTAATGCCCGTGTAAACTGCCCAGTATGTGAGTGGATGTGATGTTTGGAATGTTAATTTCTTTCCAGAATTAAATAGGTTGAAACACCTGTTCAAATGGTGCACCTGCGTGCCGTCCCAGATGTAGCAGCTGTTTATGGACTACATGTGTGATTACCATGCGTTAGTCTAGAGTGAGTGAGTGAGTTGGGTTTAACGCCGCTTTTACCAGTATTCCAGTTATATCACGGCGTGTCAGCTTAATGTGGGAGGAAAGCCCGAAGTGATGCAGGTCTGAGACGTTTACCACTTCGGGGAAACCCACGAGCACGGGTATGGTGCTGACAAACCTAGAAACATAATCGGGGCGAACAGGGATTCGAACCACAATCATAGGTTTCTGACGTGCCCAAGGGACGCAACTCCGCACAGAGAATCGCGGCGCCTTTATAGACGACTGGGCCACCCGTGCCCCCTCAGAGTTTAAACAGCGTTGGTGAATACGTAATGTTAAAAGATCAGATCAACTATTCTATTCCTGAACCAAAACTATTAGAATCTTATTCCCACATAAAAATGGGAATCACATTCCTTTAATAGTCAAACAGTGAAAACACAATCTGTCCATGACGGAACGTCCAACGCTAACCACGAGTTTTTTGCTTGGCTCGATCAATCGAAAATACAACAAATATACGATGCTACCTCTGATAGAATACCTACAACCTACTTCTTGGCATTGTTATCTGCAATATGTGATACAAGACGGCCTTATTTCGACCAATATTAATGCATACATACCTAAAACAGAGAGAGAGATGTCAGGTCATAGTCAAGAACATAGACAGAAAATAGCAGAAAAGGAACAAATCAAAACAAAACAAAATGTTGTAACAAATAATGTATTTCATTAACATAAAGGAAATAGCCAAAACAAACAGAGATAGATTTTTATGTATTTCCCAAATATTGTAACAAATGCCTCAACAGTCCTAAAATGATTCATAAATGTTTTGTATATAAGTATATACATATGTGTTCAGAGTTCACTGCCTAATCATCCTTCTTCTTAAACACACTCTTGACTCTTCTGAAGAAGTTGGCCACCCTAGATAGCAAGGCCTTCAGGAAGGAGTGGGTTGGCTGGATGATCTCCTCATCCACGAGATCTACTTCAACAAAGTCAGTGTCGTCCACGATGTACTGACCAGCGATAGTGAGGGACACAGAAGGGACAGTGCTGGGGCTAAGGGTCTGTGGGACGGGCAGGTGAGACAAGTGGGCAGGGATGGTCAGGGACTTTGAAGTGGGTTGCTATAGACAGGGAGGTAGTGGAAAGAATGGAATGTGAGGAATGTATATTATGTAGATGGAAAAACATAGAAAAGGTGTGAAAAAAGAAACAAGGTAAATATATATATATAAAATGATTTGGATACACTTTCCTTATATCATTTTGCAACTCTGAGTTTCACGCACCCATGTTATTACGTACGATCATCAGGCATAATGAAACATGATTTTTAGTTTAACCCTTTCTTTTTTGCTCGGCTTGGGGGTTTACCATGGCGACAGGTGAAAATGAGCTCGCTTCTTTTGTTTAGCTTGTTGGATGTTAGCGTGAAACTTAGCACGTTAGCATGGGTGCATGAAACTCAGAGTTGCAAAATGATATAAGGAAAGTGTATCCAAATCTGTATTTATGCTCTACTTGTATTGAGCACTCTCTTCTGCAATTGGATCGTATTTGTGTGTGTGTGTGTGTGTGTGTGTGTGTGTGTGTGTGTGTGTGTGTGTGTGTGTGTGTGTGTGTGTATATATAGTAGATACCGAAAGGTAGATAATTTGTTTGTTGTTTAAAAACGCCACTCAGCAGTATTGCAGCTACATGACGGCGGTCTGTAAACAGTCGAGTCTGGACTAGACAATCCAGTGATTGACATCATGAGCATCTATAGTATAGAGATGATGACATGAAGGATATTCTTGGAAATACAAATGTGACAAACTTCGCAGAATTACTGAAGCCTTTGAACCAAAGTACTCTCAACATTCATAATAGGGTTTTATTAATTGCATACTGTTGGTTTAAGGTAGGAATATAGTATAAACATTCAGTTACAGCTTTATAAAAACAGGGACCAGTACACAGAGGTGTTCCACATATCGGTGAAAACTCATGGAAGTGCTAAACAGGCATTGTTAAAGACAAGCCTTTATGACACCTACATGGCAAGGGGCAGGATAAGTCAGTTGGGACAGAGGCTGGAGGAACCAGATCATCCGATCAACTGTGGGGAAACAGAAGAATAAACATACAGGGTATTAAACGCCCAGAATGTATGTTGCTGGTCCCTAACCTTTGGCTGGTGACTAGTAAATAATATATCATTTTGCAGTTAATAAATTATTTGTGCGGACAGATAGGTGGTATATCGCTAAGCTTTTAGGGGTTCCCCTTTTCCAAAATGTTGCAGGGGTGTGTTCCACTTGGGCTATTTGTAACTTCAATACGGGCAGTTCCCACACAAAAGACTACCCCAAGACTCACAAACACTTTATGTAAACCACCTATATTAATACATTTACGGAATTCATTTTACAACCAAATCAACATGTTATCATGGTAGGAATGGTGCATAAAGAATGTCGTGAGATGTAAAAAGAACACCAGAACCCATGTTTTCTTATAATGTTTACAAGTTCAAGGTACACAAAGGGCCCTGCATTCAACATCTTAAGCCCCCAAAGTATCAAAGTGTTTGTGGTTCAGTACAGGAGTCATGATAGATCGTAAACATGATGATACACACTGCCTCATCACACTAATACACCAACAATGGCAACATGTAGGTACGGAATCTACTGAAGCGTAATTAGAATTGTACCTTGAACATAAGTGCTCGCATTCATGGTGGCAGGTTCAAGAATTGCAATTAAGGATAGGAAAAAAACGCTTTCAGAACAGCAAAGTGCAGATGTAGCATCAAAAATGGCGTCGATGTAACATCAAAGTGACAACCGTTGTCAAGGAAGACACAAAGTCTCGTAAAATCACGCGATATTACAAAATAACGTCAACTGGCTCCCGACCTTATTTGCGCTTGCACTGGGGTGTTAGAGACGGAGCTCGGCTGTATTTTGAGGAGATTAGTTAAAGTCGCGCCATCATATAAATGGAGCAAATCTAATTATGAGCTGAATTAATTCCTCCAGGCACGATTCTAGGTGTTACTAGTTACTATTCAACTAGCAGCTTGTAAGGGTCCGTCAAATTTATGGAACGACAGTGCCTATAATCATACTATGACTATTTTCATAACCAGCAATATAAGGGATGCGGTGAAGGCCAAAACGACACCTCAGGAAAACGCCACTGATTTCTCGGGCGTAGTAGTAGTAGTATATATGTATTTATTTACAGGTTTTATTATGTTATGTTGTAGTATATATGATTTATTTATATTATTTATATTGTCATTTTCTTGTTTTCCACAGTTATTCACAGTACTTCCACATTTGAATATCTTCACACCTTGTTCACAAGACTGGCCCATTAACCACAGAGCATTAATTGTGTCAGTAGTCAGTAACTGAGTCAGAGTGAGGTCCTCATCTTTGTATGTCTGCCCCACGTCGAATATCTCGTGGAGGTGGAGATGTGGAGGACTTCCTCATGTTGGCCCTGAGTTCTTCCTCACATTAGCGAAGACGCTTATTTCTAACGTAAACGTGTTTTAAGGCGATTAACATTTCAAAATTATTTGTTTTTGCAAGTGACCAAAGAGTTTAATTTCATTTATTTTATTTATTTTTATTTTAAGCATGTGATGATTTCACAATATGTTTAGTTGCGCCTCCCAATCACAGTCGGCAAGTAAATTGAAGTAGAGGCTAATTTCTAATGTAAACTTGTTTTAACATGTTACAATTATTTGTGTTTACCGGAACCCCACGGGGACTGGTATATCGAGATGTCAGGTACCATCAGCCGACCCTGCATGGTTGGTACACTAGTTTCAGGTCATGACCATGGGCATGTTCAACAATAGTTGTCTACTGGAGTACTCTGACTTGCTTAAACAGGGTTGACATTACCTAACCAAGGTCGTAGTTAACTTTTTTTTTGACAGGGAGGGCAAATATTTGTACAAGTTTGACTTGTCCCAAACTTGATTCAAATAAAACTGTTTTCTACCGGCTGGCTACGGCACTGCTAACCCGAACAAAACACTTAAAACATTAATAATATATACTGAACAACAAAAGTTCCTGTGACATTGAATAAGATTTAATGCAAAGTTATGTGTTTTTTTACCAAATCTGAAACCATTTCAGATAAAAGACTCCTGTAATTTTGTTTGTTTTGTTTGTTTGTTTGTTGTTTTACGCCGCACTCCAGCTATATGAAGGCGGTCTGTAAATAATCGAGTCTGGACCAGACAATCCAGTGATTAATATCATGAGCATCGATCCACGCAATTGGGATCGATGACATGCGTCAACCAAGTCAGTGAGCCTGACCACCCGATCCCGTTAGTCGCCTTTTACCGCTGAAAACGGCGTAACACCGTACTCACTCACTCATTCGTTATAAATTCATTTTTAATGTTTGATTTCTATCCCTCTATTTCCTAAATATTGTAGCAAATGCCCCAAGAGTCCTAAATGGGCACTCACTAATTCATGAGTTTCACATATTTATTGCCCTAAAAAACCTAGTGTGAAGATTAGTAATGTCCGTGTAAACTGCTCAGTATGTGAGTGGATGTGATGTTTGGAATGTTAATTTCTTTCCAGAATTAAAAATGTTGAACACCTGATCAAATGGTGCACCTGCATGTCTTTGTGAGAAAGTTACATGATGATAATGTCCATGGTCAAAGGGAAGTAACTCTTTGGATAGGTGCGCTACCACCCAAAGGTCAACTGACGTTGCGCATAGGGAGCCGGGAACCAGCTTATTGGGATGTATGCCGTTGGAAAATATATGGTGACCTTACATCTCTCTCTCTCTGTTTTAGGTATGTATGCATTAATATTGGTCGAAATAGGCCGTCTTGTATCACATATTGTAGATAACAATGCCAGGAAAAAGGTTGTGGGTATTCTGTCAGAGGTAGCATCGTATATTTGCTGTATTTTCGATTTATCGAGCCAAGCAGAAACCTCGTGGTTAGCGTTAGGCGTTCCGTCATTGACTGATTGTTTTTCACTTTTTGACTATTCAAGAAATGTTATTCCCAATTTAGGAATGGGAATAGAATTTTAATAGTTTTGGTTCAGGAATAGAATAGTTGTTTTGATCTTGTAACATAAAATTTTCGCCAACGCTGTTTAAACTCTGGTTGTCACCTATTTTCGGGGGTCACGTGACCGCATGAGCTAGATTCAGGGGAAGTAACCCTCATCTTGTTACGTTCCTGACAGCACAATCATGTACTGGTCATTGAGGAACATGTTTGTTATTGTGTTGATTTTGAATTATGACCGTTCAATGCAATCTTTTCCATTGTATTTAATGAGTTACTGCTGCTGTATTAAATATGTAATAAGTTGGCATTGTTGAACTATTATTCTATTTACATGTAACAGACTTGAATGTCCAAATATGTAATCAATGATCGGTCAAATTATGCATATTGTTGCATTAAATACGAAATCCGGAAGTAATGTTTTTTTTATTAAGCCTAATGGTATAGTGTAAAAGTGACTATTTGCATGTATTATTTCCATTATGAGAATCGTTTTTTCTTGCTAAAACTTGTAATAGATATAGTAATTTTTGTATAATATGTATGAAGGCTGTTTATGCAAGTAGTATTCTAAATACTGTATTCCTGTGACAGGTGTGTATTATGATTATTGTAGACATCTTGAATGTTGAGACTGATGTATCAGCAGTAGCTAAACAGTTACATTGAAGTTCACAAGTTGATTTAAGTAAGTATACCTGGTAGGTCATTATGTTCCTGGAAAAATGTCACCAGGTAAACTATTTCTGATATGTGTTCAGATGTATTCCGTTGTGCATTGTGATTGAGACTTTGGGGCTGTATGCCGTTGGAAAATAAATGGTGACCTGACATCTCTCTCTCTCTGTTTTAGGGTATATTGTTGTGAGGCTGACAACTTGGCGAGCGTGCCAGGATCAGCATATGTTGCTTGAAGTCCACCACGACAATATTGAAGATGTCAGAGACAGAGTGGAGCATCAAATCCCGGATGTTCAGTCTGGATGTTGGTGTGTTGACAGAATCGCTGGAGCAGCTTGGAATACCTGTCAAGGCTGGTATCGACAAATCAACGTGTTTGACAACTTTAGAATCCTATAATGTCGTAATGATCCAAGCAATGGGGGAAAAGGAAATGCACCCCTACCAGCTGCTGTAGCTGAAAAGCAAAGAGGTTCCTGTCATGAACCCAAGACCGTGACCACATCACCGCCAACAATTGTGAGGGTAGCAGATGTTAAGGAGTTCAAGATTCATGAATCTGTCATGAAGCAAGAAATAGGTTTCATCAACTTGATATGACTGAGGCAGGAGAAGAAAGGGGTTACAGTACTGTTGAGATTATTGATGGTGTTCTTCGAGCCATTCCACCATCAGAGTTACTGAGGTGATACATTGAAGGAAAGGCTGATCGTAGTTTACCCATTTTCAGGAAGCTTCTCCGAACAGTCTCTGAGGAAAAATCTGCGACAAAACTTTATCAGGAACTTAGTTGTGGTGTTCAAGGGGAAAACGAAGAAACTTTAGATTTGGTTCGGAGGATTCTTGACTTGAGTCAAAAATAAATTTCTCCTGCAAAGAGGATGGATCTGATATAAGGTATGACCAGAACCTGATGATAAGTATGACCCTGAGAACAATACACACTGGCTTGAGAGACGCCATTATTGCACAAGAATTGAGGAACACTCTGTCATCTAATCCTCTGGATCATGAGATCATTGGTCAGGTTGGCGCTGCTGCGTCTGCCGAGAAGGAGCGGAAAAGGAAGAGCACACGTGTTGCTGATGTTAGGTCTGTAGTGTTTGAGGAATCAAAGGATGAAACAAGTGAACTGTTAGGCGACAGTGAACTGGCTGTCTAGGCTGCCAATGGGGAGAACATACCCTTTGAAGGATGTGTCGAAGTATCATTCGAACTGATGAAGGGAACCACTGATCAGAAATTTTCTTTTCCATTTTTAGTTACTAAGATGTCCAGCATCACTACCCCAATCATAGGTATTAATGTGATCGAGCAATATCTCTTCAGTCATGCAGAGTGTAGCAGAGTCAATGTCATACAATCAGGACTGCCAGCAATTAGGAAAGAAAAACTGGAAGCTGTAGTTAAGCTGTTGCAAGAGGAGCGACCTGATGCAATATGTGACTTTCACAGTGAAAGACCAGTATTACTTGTCAAAGCTGGTCAAGTGTTACAAGGGAAGTTCATAGTCGCCACTAATGTAAGTGAACCCACCACTGTCTTGTTGGAACCAAACATTAAGGAACCTTGGCCTGTTGGACTGAAGATTCAAGGATCGCTTCTTAGGTTGAAGAGATTCACCAAAACAAACATTCCGGTAATGTTAATGAACTGTACTAGTCATGACATTAAAGTTCACAGCAGGTCATGTCTTGGTACACTGCATCAAGTGAGATCTGTCATACCATTACAAGGTGAGAACGAGCCAGATCCTGCCCAGAATTTAGATGATATCCTGGAATCAGATAAAGACATCAGACACCACAAGCATACAAGAGCACTGGCATCCCCCAGTAGACTTAAGTGGTGATTTATGTGAGGAACAACATGAAATGATCAAGCAGATGTTATATGAAGAGTCAGATGTGTTCAGTAAGACATGATGATATTGGGACAATAACTGATTTGAAAATGGACATTCAACTCACTGATGATGTACCTGTACAGAAGTTGTATGTGTCCATACCGATGCCTCTTTACAAAGAAGTTAAAGATTATCAAGAAGACCTTATAAACAAGGGATGGGTACGACACTTGAAGTCATATTACTTGAGCCCTCTAGTTTGTGTCAGAAGAAAGGACTCGAGTCTGAGACTAAGTGTTGACACCCTCTACCACGCATACAGGATGCCCTTGACAGTTTGAGTGGAAACCAATGGTTTACCTTGCTTGATCAGGGGAAGGCCTATCACCAGGGCTTATCAAGGAAAGTTGTAGACCATATACTGCTTTTATAAGTCCTTGGGGGCTATATGAATGGACACGCATTCCTTTTGGTTTAACTGGAGCACCAAGTGCATTCAAGCGCTTCATGAACACTTGCTTACAAGGGCTGAGGGACACTATTTGTATTCCCTTTCTTGATGATGTTACAGTCTTCAGCAAAGATTTTTCACAACATGTAGAAGATGTAAGGACTGTCTTGCAACGGTTAAAGGAATCTGGGGTTAAACTAAAACCTCGTAAGTGCAATCTATTTAAGAAACAGGTGCGCTACCTTGGACACATTGTCTCAGAACATGGCATTCAGATGGACCCAAGAGACAAGGAAGCTGTTCTTAATCTCAAATCTATCCAACCAGCTACAGTGGGAGATGTGAGGAGACTATTAGGATTCATTGGTAACTACCGTAAATACATTCCAGATTACTCTCGCAGAGCACAGTGCTTATTCGAACTGCTGTGTTGTTCCGACTCCAATACTGTAGACAAAGGTGTGAAGGTGCGATGGGAAAAGAATGGTCAGTTGTCCTCAAGTCACAAAATCACATGGACAGATGAACATAAACAGATTCTGCATGGTATCATAGATGACTTGTTAACTGAAAAGGTGATGGCTTACCCTGACTGGGAGAAAGAGTTTGTATTGCATGTTGATGCCTCTCAAGAAGGACTGGGTGCCATTCTGTATCAGTCACAGGAAAATAGAAAATTAGCTGTTGTTGCATATGGATCACGATCACCGTCTCCAGCAGAATAGAACTACCATGCTCGTTCAGGGAAGTTGGAGTTTCTTGCTCTAAAATGGGCAATAACAGAACGGTTCAGGGACTATTTGTACTATGCACCCATCTTCACAGTCTTTAGTGACAACAACCCTCTGACTTATATTCTTCCTTCAGCTTAGTTGGATGGTACCAGACACAGATGGGTAGCAAAATTGGCTGACTATAAATTTTCAATTAAATACAAGCCTGGGAAGAAGAACTTTGATGCAGATAGACTGAGCAGAATGCCATCAGATATTGACCAGTATATGTTTGAGTGTGTCTGTGAAATAAATCAAGAAGCAATTGAAATGTCAAATCAGGTTACCAATGCTAGGGAAGAGGGTGACATTGTCTGGATTTCATCAATCACTGATGACCATACTTGTCTTTCTGAAGTTGTCTCCTCTTCCAGCTGCAAGCCTACTTTCCATTGTTTTAGTGCTGAGGACATCAACAAGACGATGAACACATCAGACCAGTATTGAAAAGCAAACAGAAGAAAAGGAAACCCAATAGGATGACTAAACACAGGACAGAAACCATGGACCTGGAAGAAACTCTGTCTTAATACGGATAGCGTTCTGTGTAGAAGAACAGTGTTGTAGTGAAGAAAGGACTCAAATAGTACTTCCCTAGCAATTTAGGGCAGCAATTTAGGGCACTTGTGTTAAAAGAACTTCACAATGAAATGGGGCACGTTGGTTCAGAAAGAGTTGTGGCACTGGTGAGAGAGAGATTCTATTGGCACAGGCAAGCGAATGTCGAACGTTATGTCACTAAGGAATGCACTTGTCTCAAAGACCGCACGCCAACAATTCCAACAAAAGCACCACTGAAACCAATATCAACATCTGCATCCTTTCAACTGGTGTCTATTGACTTTCCTCATTTGGAAAGAAGCACAGGTGGCTATAAGTACATTTTAGTTGTGTGCGACCACTTTACTAGATTTGCACAAGCATATGCATCGCGAAACAAATCAGCGAAGACTGCTGCAGAGAAAATTTTCAAAGACTCAAATTTTGGTTTCCAGCCAAACTGCACCATGATCAAGGTGCAGAATTTGAAAATCAGCTCTTTCATCATCTGCAGAAATATTGTCGCATGGCCAGATCGAGAACAACTCTGTATCATCCGGAGGGGAATGGACAGGTAGAATGCTCCAAAAAAACATTGTTGGGTATGCTTCGTACCTTGCCCAGCCAAATGAAAAGAAACTGGAAAGATCATTTAAATAAAGTAGTCCATGCATACAACTGCACTCGAAATGATGCTACCAGTTACTCACCTTTCTGTCTACTCTTTGGGCGATCACCTCGTACCAGTGGACCTAATGTTTGGACTTGGTAACAAGATTTAAACAGTGATCCTAACAAATATGTGAACCAGTGGCGACAATGCATGCAACAAGCATATGATCAAGCAAATGTGATTGCCGATGAGAATGCATGAAAGGGAAAGAAGCAATATGATAAGGAGAGAAGCACTACTTTGATGACTGGTGATCTCATGCTTTTGAGAAACATGTCTGAAAGAGGTGGTCCGGCAAAGTTGAAATCTTATTGGGAACCAAAGATTCACATTGTGAATAAGCAATTAGTGGGTGACAGTCCTGTATATGAAGTGAGACCTGAAGGTGGAATTGGATGGACTAGAGTTCTACACAGAAACAAGGTGCTTCCTTGTGATGGACGTCCAGTTGACAAGATTGTTGACAGAGCAAAAGCCCAGAAAGCTGGAACTCAAACGCTCCGGATGAAAAAGCACATTGTCGATTATGAGCACTCAGGGACGGACAGTGATTCTTCAGAAGGCAGTGGCCAAGTGGAGATCGATGTGAAGGAAGTTCATCCTGAGAAGCATTTTGCTGCGTCAGAAAATGCCAATGAAACACACAACACCCAGTATCAAGTCGGTCGACGGATCATGGTTCTAATAGTGTTGAGGATCGAGATGATACTGATGTGAGTGCAAGTGAGCAGTCACCAGATGGTGACAATTCTGTGAGGACCTGTGACCAAATAGATCTACAGCTACAATCAACAGAGAGTGAGGAAGAGTCCACAGATTTTCATTATGCCGATGATGAAGCAGAGGTGAGGAAGTCACAACGACGAAAGAAATGTCCAGTCAAACTGACATATGCCACAAAGCCAACTGAATGTGAACAGAAAACAAACCTGAACCTTTTCGACTTGCACCGTGGTACCTGTTTCATGGTATTACCCATACCAAGTACTGTTAACACCAGTGATACATAACCCATGGTTCCATCCAGAGAGACCTTTACAAGTGATGAATGAACTAACATTGAAACTTCACTATGAGCACAATGGTACGACCTTAATATTTTAGGTATGGGTTGCCTTATGGGAAGAGACATCCAAGTTTGTTGTATTTAGTACAGTCTGAAGTACAAAAGGTATTTCCACTTAGAATAACTATGTGTAACAGTAAAAGGTTTGCAGTATTCTTTGACTGGACGTCTAGCAGTATTGTTGCCTTCAGTGTCAAATATCATGATGTATGTAAAACTACAGGTTGTACACTTTGAAAGTGGTATTTTGCTGCCACTGAGGAACTTACGTCTTAATAATTTAAGCAGCGCTTACTGTTAATATGTTTTCAAAACTGTTGTTGAAGGTGTATTTGTAGTTCGCATACATATCTGTTGAAATGTCGGGATCACATTTTTTTATGGGGGGCAAATGTAAGAAAGTGAAATAATGATAATGTCCATGGTCAAAGGGAAGTTACTCTTTGGGTGGGTGCGCTACCACCCAAAGGTCAACTGACCAATCAAAATTGCCTGTTTACTTTGGGCTGTATGCTGTTGGAAAATAAATGGTGACCTGACATCTCTCTCTCTCCCTGTTTTAGGTATGTATGCAATAATATTGGTCGAAATAAGGCCGTCTTGTATCACATATTGTAGATAACAATGCTAGGACATAGGTTGTAGGTATTCTCTCAGAGGTAGCATCGTATATTTATTGTATTTTCGATTTATCGAGCCAAGCAGAAACCTCGTGGTTAGCGTTAGACGTTCGGTCATTGACAGATTGTGTTTCACAGGCTTTTTTATTATTAATGGAATGTGATTCCCATTTTCGGTATGGGAATAGAATTCTAATAGTTTTGGTTCAGGAATAGAATAGTTGTTTTGAACTTTTAACATTAAATATTCGCCAATGCTTTTTAAACTCTGGTTGTCACCTATTTTCGGGGGTCAGTGACCGCATTAACTAGATTCAGGGGAAGTAACCCTTATCTTGTTACATTCCCTAAAGCACATCCTTGTCATGTTTGTTATTGTTTTGATTTTGAATTATGACCGCTCCATGCAGTCTTTTTTATTGTATTCAGTTAGTAACTGCTGCTGTATTATATATGTACCATATTCGACGTGATAAGGACCCAGGGCACTCTCATAATTAGAAATAGGTGACTCTTACTAGAATAAAATTTTGGTGGATTAAAAAAACACAGTTGAAAGATCGTAAATTTCGTGGTTTATGCTGACAGCCTGAAATGATACAAAAGAAAAGTCTGTTTGTATTATACACGACAGATATATTTTTCTAGAATTTAATTGCCCATAATTATGGGTGCATATAACACACGTGTGTATTATACAGGAATAAATAAGTCTTGTGTATATTGATCAATTGGAAGGAATTGCGATTGTTCACTAGCCAATATATTAGCAAATACCGCCATGGGCGCTTATTAGAGCAAGGTGCTTATTAGACCGAATACGGTAATAAGTTAACATTGTTGAACTTTTATTCTATTTACATGTAACAGACTTGAATGTCCAAATATGTAATCATAGATAGGTAAAATTATGCATATTGTTGCATTAAATACACAATCCAGAAGTAATGGTTTTTGATTAAGCCTAATGGTATAGTGTAAAAGTGACTATTTGCATGTATTATTTCCATTATGAGAATCGTTTTTTCTTGCTAAAACTTGTAATAGATATAGTAATTTTTGTATAATATGTATGAAGGCTGTTTATGCAAGTAGTATTCTAAATACTGTATTCCTGTGACAGGTGTGTATTATGATTATTGTAGACATCTTGAATGTTGAGACTGATGTATCAGCAGTAGCTAAACAGTTACATTGAAGTTCACAAGTTGATTTAAGTAAGTATACCTGGTAGGTCATTATATTTCCTGGAAAAATGTCACCAGGTAAACTATTTCTGATATGTGTTCAGATGTATTCCGTTGCGCATTGTGATTGAGACTTTGGGGCTGTATGCCTTGGGAAATAAATGGTGACCTGACATCTCTCTCTCTCTCTGTTTTAGGGTATATTGTTGTGAGGCTGACAACTTGGCGAGCGTGCCAGGATCAGCATATGTTGCTTGAAGTCCACCACGACAACATTGAAGATGTCAGAGACAGAGTGGAGCAATTGCTTATGGACTACAAGTGTGATCACCATGCGTTAGTCTAGAACATAGCCAGAAAATAGCAGAAAAGGAGCAACTAAACAAACAAAATGTTGTAACAAATAATGTATTTCATTAACATAAAGAAAACAGCCAAAAAAAACAGATGAATTTTATGTATTTCCTAAATATTGTAACAAATGCCTCAACAGTCCTAAAATGATTCATAAATGTTTTGTATATAAGTATATACATATGTGTTTAGAGTTCACTGCCTAATCATCCTTCTTCTTAAACACACTCTTGACTCTTCTGAAGAAGTTGGCCACCCTGGATAGCAAGGCCTTCAGGAAGGAGTGGGTTGGCTGGATGATCTCCTCATCCACGAGATCTACTTCAACAAAGTCAGTGTCGTCCACGATGTACTGACCAGCGATAGTGAGGGACACAGAAGGGACAGTGCTGGGGCGAAGGGTCTGTGGGACGGGCAGGTGAGACAAGTGGGCAGGGATGGTCAGGGACTTTGAAGTGGGTTGCTATAGATAGGGAGGTAGTGGAAAGAATGGAATGTGAGGAATGAATATTATGTAGATGGAAAAAGTTAGTCAATCATTGAATTTTATTGCAGCAAATAAAAGATTATGGTGGTAAAGACAGAAAAGGTGTGAAAAAAGAAACAAGGTAAATAAAGATGATATAAATAGTAGATACCGAAAGGTAGATAATGCAAAGGGAAGGTAGATTGTTTGTTTGTTTGTTGTTTAAAAACGTTGCACTCAGCAATATTCCAGCTACATTACGGTGGTCTGTAAATAATCAAGTCTGGGCTAAGACAATCCAGTGATTGACATCATGAGCATTGATAGTAAAGATGTTGACATGAAGGATATTCTTGGAAATACAAATGTGACAAACTTTACAGAATTATTGAAGCCTTTGAACCAAAGTACTCTCAACATTCATAATAGGGTTTTATTAATTGCATACTGTTGGTTTAAGGTAGGAATATAGTATAAACATTCAGTTACAGCTTTATAAAAACAGGGACCAGTACACAGAGGTGTTCCACATTTCGGTGAAAACTCATGGAAGTGCTAAACAGGCATTGTTAAAGACAAGCCTTTAGGACACCTACATGGCAAGGGGCTTGATAAGTCAGTTGGGACAGAGGCTGGAGGAACCAGATCATCCGATCAACTGTGGGGAAAAAGAGGAATAAACATACAGGGTATTAAACACCCAGAATGTATGTTGCTGGTTCCTAATCTTTGGGTGATGACTAGTAAATTATATATCATTTTGCAGTTTATAAATTATTTATGCTGACAGATAGGTGGTATATATAGCTTAGCTTTTAGGGGTTCCCCTTTTACAAAATGTTCCATTTTTATGTTGGATAAAGAGTAATGGTAATAATCACTGCAAAGTATATCTCCCTGTTACGTTATGACTTGAGCCCCTCAGACAAAATATGGGATAATAAGTTACAGTTTACCTTTTACTGCTAAACTAAGTCTATTTGCTAAAATACAAGGGATTCCGCCTAACCATACAATATTGATTTGGACTCAGACTGCAGTGTACATTCTGAGAGTATATAAGAAATCATGAGCAGATCCAGGATTTAAAAAAAAGGGAGTGGGGGCAGGGGTGTGTTCCACTTGGGCTATTTGTAACTTCAGTAGGGGCAGTTCCCACACAAATCACTTCCCCAAGACTCACAAACACTTCATGTAAACCACTGTTAAAATACATATACGGATTTCATTTTACAACCAAATCAACATGTTACCATGGTAGGAAAGGCGCATAAATAATGTCATGAGATGTAAAAGACACAAGAACCTACATTTTATTATAATGTTTACAAGTTCAAGGTATACAAAGGTCCCTGCATTCAACATCTTAGCCCCTAAAGCATGCAGTGTTTGAAGATCAGTACAGGAGCCATGATACACTCCCCCTCATCACACTAAAATACCAACATGTAGGTACAGAATCTACTGAAGCGTAATTAGAATTGTACCTTGAACATAAGTGCTCGCATTCATGGTGGCAGGTTCAAGAATTGCAATAAAGGATAGGAAAAAAACGCTTTCAGAACAGCCAAGTGCAGATGTAGCATCAAAAATGGCGTCGATGTAACGTCAAAGTGACAACCGTCGTCAAGGAAGACATGAAGTCTCGTAAAATCGCGCGATATTACAAAATAAAGTTAACTGGCTCCCGACTTCATTTGCGCTTGCACTGGGGTGTTATAGAGAAGGAGCTCGGCTGTATTTTAAGGAGAGAAGTTAAGTCGCGCCATCATATAAATGAAGCAAAATTAATTATGAGCTGAATTAATTCCTCCAGGCACGATTCTGGGTGTTACTAGTTACTATTCAACCAGCAGCTTGTAAGGGTCCGTCAAATTTATGGTACGACAGTGACTATAATCATACTATGGCAATTTTCATAACCAGCAATATATGGGGTGCTCAGGATTTTTTTCTGACCGGGACCTCACGGAGACTGGTATATCAATCTGTTTATTTGTACTTGAGGCCTCGGGCCCATATAGAAAGTATACAAAGTATACAAAAATACAAATTTTCCATCAAGGTGATGGTGGTTCATCATACTTATACACGTATATTCAATGATAACATAGTGTACAGTAATTATTGATAACATGCTCTCCTTACAAGTGAAGCTTTACAGAATTTTAGCAAGTTTTCTACTATAGCTGGATCATAATCATTCATTAAATTAACAAAACATTTGGATGTGCATTTCCTTAAATATTTCTCTGGTACAAAAAGATTTCTCAAATGATTAAAACATGGACATTTCATTATTATGTGGAATTCATCCTCTAACTCATTTAAATTACAATTCTGACAGATTCGTTTACTTTTTTTTAACATTTTTCCATCTTCCAACATTTATGTAAATTTTTGCACCTCCAGTTCTTAAAAGAGCTAAGTATCTTCTATGCATTAAATATGTTTTGCAATACACATATGGTTCACCATTTAATGAAAATTTGTATTTACTGTAATTATCGAATCTTGTACTTTCTCTTAATTTTGCTTGCCACTCTTGAAAAGAAATATCTCTTAATCTAAGTTTAATCATGCTTATTAAATAATCAATATTACCAACACCTTGAGAGACCTATCAAACATAAAGATTCTCTAACATTTGTTACCCAATTTCTCCTATCACATTCATCTAAGTGTTTTAACATATTATACGACTTTTTTGGTATTCTATCATCTGACGTGTATTAATCTTAGCCAATATTTTATACATTGCACAAATGAATCAACATATAACGGGTATCTACCACATTCTCCTACAGCCATAGCATTTGGAGTTTGTGACGTAAACCAAGAAATCTTTAACATGCATAAATCTGAATTTTCTCAAGTGGATCAAATGTATTGGTGCCCCAAATATCTGCACCGTATAATAAAATAGGCTTAATCTTTACATCAAATATTTTAAAGAATATGTCATAAGACAAGCACCCAAGTTCATTTAATGATCTTAAAATTTCATAAAGTGCTAATTTACCTTTTTGGCATGTGTATTTCACTGTTTTTATCATATTTATATTTGAGTAAAACATAACACCAAAATATTTATAGTGTTTTACTATTTCGATATTTTGGTTATTAAAAGTCCATCGTTCGTGTTTTTTCAAAATTCCATATTTTCTAAATACCACTATTTTTGTTTTGTCTAAATTAACTGTCAATTTCCATTTGTTACAATACTTATTGAGAGTATTTAATTGGTTTTGTTAACCTGAAATCGTATCTGAAAACAATACAATATCATCTGCAAATAAAAGTATCAACAATTCTATATATTCAGGAAAATGTTGTACACCTCTAACGTTTTCGTGGTCTAAAGTATGAACGAGTTCGTTTATATACAGAGAAAATAATAAGGGGCTAAAAACACACCCTTGTTTTAAACCTATGTGAGATTCAAATATATCTGAAAATTGTCCATTAGACTTTACGGTATTTCTAACCTTTTCATACACAGATTTAATAGCATTAAACATATTTCCTAATAGACCTATATGTTCCAAGAGATATAATAAATATTTTGTATCTACTGAATCAAACGCTTTTTTAAAATCTACGAAAGCGACGTAGAATCTACCTTTACGCTTAGACAAATGCTTGTCGATTAGAGCATTCAAAACAAAAATATTATCAGAAGTAGAGTAACCTTCGCGAAAGCCAGCTTGTTCCTCCGATATTTTCTTAGAAATATTTGCCCAAATTGTTAATCTATTATTAATGATTGATGTATAGAGTTTGCTTAATACATTCATTAAAGTGATGCCCCTATAGTTATCTGGCTTTGTTTTGTCACCACTCTTATGCAGAGGAAGAATTATACCTATGTTCCACGGATCCGGAAAAAGACCATTTTTAAAGAGATAACTAAATAAATCAAGGAGATAAGGAATAAAGTAACATTGTCCTGCTTTCACATATTCCCCTAAAATTTGATCTAAACCTGGCGCTTTCACATTTTTCATCATTGCGTATTTCCCTGTTATAATCATCATCAAAATTCATTTCATATTTGTTTGACATACAAATGTTAATATCACAATCAATCTCTATGTGGTCACTATGCAGTGTTGAAAAATGATCAAACCAATCCGTTATCTTTATATTACATGGAGTATGTTGATACCGACGACTTCTAATTTTTCGCCAAAAAGTTTTTCCGTCTTGTTTTACTAAATTATCTAGATAACTTACAGTCTGTTTTCTAAACGTGATCTGTTTTTCTCTCCGTAAAGCCTATTTCTTACCGATCTATATTTTCTAAAGTTAACAGTTGTTCTTTGGCAACGTAGTTTTCTAAGCGCACGTCTCTCTTCTTTTCTTCCCTTTCTGCATTCGTTATCAAACCACGACTTTTGGCTTATATCGTTTCGACATTTAACAGTTTTACGGAAACAACTACTTGCTTTACGAATTACATTTGTAAAAATTTCAATTGATTCGTTAACATTATGTTGTATGATAGATTGAGTATATTCTATTTGGTTAAAAGATTCGTTAGATGATATATTCAAAGCAAACTCCCCTGCTTTATCATCACTCCATATATTTTGTTCCATATAACTGGTCGACTTCTCATCAAATGATCCTATTGTTTTCATAACTATGATATTGGTAGATGACTAGATTCGGTCCTATTTTCAACATTACATTATTTTACATAATCATTATTTTCTATAGACGTTAAACAATAATCATCTAAACTACTCCCGCAACTCCCATTAAATGTAAAACTACTTGTCTTAGACTCAGTGCCATGTCTCCCACTGAGAATATAAATACTTAGGGATACGCAGAGATCAATTAAAGATTTTCCGAAAGTATTAATGACGTTATCCTCGGATATCCTTTCATCCATCTCTATCTTATCTACGAGGGCCATTCAATATATAACCAGCCTAAGCTATTTATCAGATCTTAACGGTTGCATGTTTGTCACGTGCTGTGCACCAATGTATGTCACGTGCATAGACAAAGTTTCACTGAGGAAATTGTATTTGAAGTCACACACGTGATCTATAAAGATGGCAAGGGTAGATTCTGCCAAATTTTCGTCAAAGGTTAAATACAGGGCTGCTATTAGGTACCTCTACTTAAAAGGGAAACCGGGAAAGGAGATACATGATGAATTGTCAGATGTTTATGGTGACAGTGCACCTTCGTATGCACAAGTCAAATTCTGGGTTGCAGAATTTAAGAGGGGTCGGGTGAACCTGGAAGATGAGCCACGCCCTGGCAGGCCTGTAGAGGTGACCAATTACCAAACCATTTAAGCTGTGAGACAACTGGTTGTCAAAGACAGGCGAATGAAGGTGTCAGAAATGGCCAAGGCCTTGGACATTTCAGAGGGAAGTGTCCATACCATTTTGCATGATCGTCTGGGTGTGAGGAAGCTGTCTGCCCGATGGGTCCCGAAATGTCTGAGTGATGATCAGAAGGCTGTACGTGCGTCAATGTGTCAGGCACTTTTGACGCAATGCAGTCGGGATGCAGACAACTTTATGGAGAGAATTGTTACTGGTGATGAAACCTGGGTACACCACTTTGACCCAGAAACCAAAGAACAGAGTAAGCAGTGGACTTGCTTTGCTTCACCCTGTCCCCACAAGTTTAAGACTCAACCATCGGCTGGCAAAGTCATGGCAACCATCTTTTGGGATACCAAAGGGGTCTTGCTCATTGACTACTTGCCACGTGGCCAGACTATTACTGGAGAGTACTACTCCGATCTCCTGGACCGTTTGCCGACTGCTATTCTTGCCAAACGTCGTGGAAAGATCACAAAAGCTGTGCTGCTCCAACATGATAAAGCCAGAGTGCACACCTGTCGACTTGCGGTTGCCACAGTGAAGTGGAACGGGTTCAAAGTATTGCCTCATCCACCTTACTCACCAGACCTGGCACCAAGCGACTACTTTCTCTTCCCAAACTTGAAGAAAGAACTGCGTGGACGTCATTTCCGGTCCGATGATGAACTCACGACAGCAGTGGAGGGGTGGTTACACAAACAACCCCATGGTTTCTATCAAAACGGGCTTTTAGCTCTCACACATCGCTGGACAAAGTGCATAAACCTCAATGGTGGTTATGTGGAAAAAGAAGAAGTGAGGAGCAGTAGCAATAGGTTAGGCTGGTTATATATTGAATGGCCCTCGTACATCATCTCGCTCTGTACTATCTGCTAGAGTAGGAAACACTTCCTGTAAATTACCTGTTCTAGCATTCAAATCACCTATCAATAATATAGGATCATATCTAAACTTAATAGCTTGGTCTAAAAGTAACTCTTCTAATTCAATAATACCATTTTTCTCAAGTTTGTTGTCATAATATCTGGAATATTGTGGTGGTATATATGTACATCCATACAACACGTCACGATTATGACAAAATATCATGATATGAATATTTAAATGTAAGAAATATAAATTAATGTTGAAGCTTCGTTAAAAATTCAAAACTTGTAATCAATGATCGATAAGTAATTAGAACAAGAGGCCCACAGGGCCTGTATCGCTCACCTGGATATTGACAAAATATACATTTGCATTGTATATGTATATAATACTCCAAATATTTCGTAATTTTGATTCTGTCAGCATTTAATATGGGTGGATGGCAAATCTGACAGCATGAACGTGTACTCGTATCTATCTAGATACAAATGTGGCATAAAGATCTGAACCGTTTCCATGTTATGATCCAGGATAAATCATATTAAAGGTATTGTCATAGCGACTGATTTACGACACCCATTGTCTGAAGAACATTTAATTGCAAAGGTTCATTACCCTGGAGCCGTGACATCTTTATGCCTTGAAAGACTTAATTGCTGTCATTTATAAGATACTAATCCTATTTGTTAATCCCCATTTTTGTGTACATCGTCCGTCTGCCATCCTGAACGAGATGTGCAAGTATGTCACTGATGATTTACTGTTTACATTTATATTTATTACTTACTAAATGTCAGGTGACCTTGGCTATATAAGCCTTGGTCCAGAGAGGAGAGAAAGAAAGGTCTAACCCTAGGGTTAGGCTGGGTGCTCGGGGCACCAAGACAACAACCACAACAACTATGTGCTGACCTGGCACAAAGTGTCTTTTGTATGTATATATCTACATGTATAAAGTAAAACTGTATATACCGCAAGCCATCGTCTCCAAGTTGTCACTTCCTACAGGAACCATACGTCAGATCAGACAATTAACGCCAAATTACTCCTATTTGGCAACGCCCCTCCATTTGTACAATTTTGAATTCTCACCACCCGAGAATGCTTCCAACCAAATATGGTTGATATTCTCTTAGTTCCAGAGAAGTCGTTTGAAGCAATATAGCCAAATTACCCCTATTTGGCCCCACCCCTCAGCAGTTTAGGGGCGGGTGGGGATGGGATGTCAGCCCCACCATTTGTACAATTTTGAATCCCCACCACCTAGGGATGCTTCCAGTCTAATTTTGTTAATTTCCAACTAGTGGTTCAGAAGAAGAAGTCGTTTGAATAAATTGTTGACGGATGACAGACGGACGACGGACGCCACGGTATGGCATAAGCTCACCTTGGTCGGGTGGTCGGCTCGGAGTCAGTATACTGTGTCTGAATGGGGTGTCAATGTTAAACTGCGGCATTTTTTCTCAGTGGACTAGCACTGTAAAACCGGCTAGTTCAAGCAGCCCATACGCACACACACACACACACACACACACGTGCATGAACGTCGCAATATGCACGACGTTAAACCCCATTTCACCTCACCTCACCTCACCAAGGTGATATCCATGTTGAAATGTATGGATGAAATATGATAGGCGTTGCATCATAACCGTTTAGCCGAGTTCTTGCATCTATTCCAATCAATGTCATGATGTTATGACTAGATGTTCCAAAGCCTCCAAAATATTATTGTCCACACTGAACCATGAACACAGACTGCCAGAGATGGATACGCTCCTTCTCAACAGGAGGCGGTGGGTAGCCTATTGGTTAAAGGCTTAGCTCCTCATGCCGAAGACCCAGGTTCAATTGCCTACATGGGTACATGTGTGAAGCGCATATCTGGTGTCCCCCGCACTGATATTCGTTGAATATTGCTGAAAACGACGTAACACCGTACTCACTCATTCGTTTTTAATTCATTTTACATGTTTGATTTGTATCCTGGGCCTACCAGGAATAGCCTGGTTGTCAAAGATGAAACATATTGCAACTGTACCAAAATGTAAACCATTTAGTCAACAGAGATGTTGCAACCAGAGGATGTATTCATCTTCGTCAGCCTGTATGTTCATGGTACATTGTGTGCGTGCGTGCGTGCGTGTAACAATTGTTTGGAACCTTGGAAACACAATGCTGTGGGGCCATGACATTAATCCAGTGTCGGAAAGAACTCCACAAAATGATTTGTGGTACAACGCCTGCCACACTCCATGCATTAATTTCCCATAGTGGTCAGAAGTTATGTATTGTTCGTGGTACAACTTTCTACTCCATGATTTGATTATTACCAAACATTTTGCAAGTAATATATTTCCTAAATATTGTAACAAATGCCTCAAGAGTCCTAAAAGAGGACTCACTAATTCATGAGTTCCACATATTTATTATCCTAAAAACACTTGTGTGAAGATTAAGTAATGCCAGTGTAAACTGCCCAGTATGTGAGTGGATGTGACGTTTGGAATGTTAATTTCTTTCCAGAATTAAATAGGTCAAACACCTGTTCAAATGGTGCACCTGAGTGCCGTCCCAGATGTAGCAGCTGTTTATGGACTACGTGTGTGAGACTAGAGTGAGTGAGTGAGTTGGGTTTAACGCCAGTATTCCAGTTATATCACGGCGTATCAGCTTAATGTGGGAGGAAAGGCCGAAGTGATGCAGGTCTCAGACGTTTACCACTTCGGTGAAACCCACGAGCACGGGTATGGTGCTGACAAACCTAGAAACATAATCGGGGCGAACAGGGATTCGAACCCACAATCATAGGTTTCTGGCGTGCCCAAGGGACGCAACTGCACAGCGAATCCCGGCGCCTTTATAGACGACTGGGCCACTGCGTTAGTCTAGAACATAGCCAGAAAATAGCAGAAAAGGAACCAATCAAAACAAAACAAAATGTTGTTACAAATAATGTATTTCATTAACATAAAGTAAATAGCCAAAAACAAACAGAGATAGATTTTATGTATTTCCCAAATATTGTAACAAATGCCTCAACAGTCCTAAAATGATTCATAAATGTTTTGTATATAAGTATATACATATGTGTTCAGAGTTCACTGCCTAATCATCCTTCTTCTTAAACACACTCTTGACTCTTCTGAAGAAGTTGGCCACCCTAGATAGCAAGGCCTTCAGGAAGGAGTGCGTTGGCTGGATGATCTCCTCATCCACGAGATCTACTTCAACAAAGTCAGTGTCGTCCACGATGTACTGACCAGCGATAGTGAGGGACACAGAAGGGACAGTGCTGGGGCGAAGGGTCTGTGGGACGGGCAGGTGGGACAAGTGGGCAGGGATGGTCAGGGACTTTGAAGTGGGTTGCTATAGATAGGGAGGTAGTGGAAAGAATGGAATGTGATGAATGAATATTATGTAGATGGAAAAGGTTATACAATCATTGAATTTTATTGCAGCAAATAAAAGATTATGGTGGTAAAGACAGAAAAGGTGTGACAAAAGAAACAAGGTAAATAAAGATGATATATATAGTAGATACCGAAAGGTAGATAATTTGTTTGTTGTTTAAAAACGCTGCAATCAGCAGTATTCCAGCTACATGACGGCGGTCTGTAAACAATCGAGTCTGGAATGGACAATCCAGTGATTGACATGATGAGCATCTATAGTAAAGATGATGACTTGAAGGATATTCTTGGAAATACAAATGTGACAAACAGAATTACTGAAGTCGTTGAACCAAAGTACTCTCAACATTCATAATAGGGTTTTATTAATTGCATACTGTTGGTTTAAGGTAGGAATATAGTATAAACATTCAGTTACAGCTTTATAAAAACAGGGACCAGTACACAGAGGTGTTCCACATTTAGGTGAAAACTCATGGAAGTGCTAAACGGGCATTGTTAAAGACAACCCTTTATGACACCTACATGGCAAGGGGCAGGATAAGTCAGTTGGGACAGAGGCTGGAGGAACCAGATCATCCGATCAACTGTGGGGAAACAGAAGAATAAACATACAGGGTATTAAACATCCAGAATATATGTTGCTGGTCCCTAACCTTTGGCTGTTGACTAGTTAATAATATATCATTTTGCAGTTAATAAATTATTTGTGCTGACAGATAGGTTGTATATAGCGAAGCTTTTAGGGGTTCTCCTTTTCCAAAATGTTCCAGTTTTATGTTGGATAAAGGGTAATTGAACTTGAACTTGAACCCCCCAGATAAAATATAGGATAATAAGTTACAGTTTACCTTTCACTGCTAAACTAATTCTATCTGATAAAATACAAGGGGTTCCGCCTAGCCATACAATATTGATTTGGACTCAGACTGCTGTGTACATTCTGAGAGTTTATAAGAAATCATGAGCAGTTTCAGGATTTTAAAAAAAGGGAGTGGGGGCAGGGGTGTGTTCCACTTGGGCTATTTGTAACTTCAGTAGGGGCACTTCCCACCCAAAACACTACCAAAGACTCACACACACTTCATGTAAACCACCGTTAATAAATTAACGAAATTAATTTTACAACCAAATGAACATGTTATCATGGTAGGAACGGCGCATAAAGAATGTCGTGAGATGTAAAAAAAACAAACCCAACAGAACCCACATTTTCTAATAATGTTTACAAGTTCAAGGTACACAAAGGGCCCTGCATTCAACATCTTAAGCCCCTAAAGCATGCAAAGTGTCTGTGGTTCAGTACAGGAATCATGACAGATCATAAACATGATGATACACACTACCTCATGACAGTAATATACCAACATGTAGGTACGGAATCTACTGAAGCGTAGTTAGAATTGTACCTTGAACATAAGTGCTCGCATTCATGGTGTCAGGTTCAAGAATTGCAATAAAGGATAGGAAAATAACGCTTTCAGACAAGCAAAGTGCAGATGTAGCATGAAAAATGGCGTCGATGTAACATCAAAGTGACAACCGTCGTCAAGGAAGACATGAAGTCTCGTACAATCACGCGATATTACAAAAAGTTAACTGGCTCCCGACTTCATTTGCGCTTGCACTGGGGTGTTAAGAGACGGAGCTCGGCTGTATTTCAAGAGAGTAGTTTTGTCGCGCCATCATATAAATGAAGCAAATTTAATTATGAGTTGAATTAATACCTCCAGTCACGATTCTGGGTGTTGCTAGTTACTGGTCAGCCAGCAGCTTGTAAGGGTCCGTCAAATTTAAGGTATGACAGTAACTATAATCATATGGTTGTTTTTGGTTTTGTTACAAGTTAAGACTTGCTCACATTCTGTTTGGTCTGTTATATCACATCATGCACTTCTAAACTCTAGTGTTCCCCATTCCCCTTCTCTAGACGACTCACAGAATCTCCCTACATGCACCTTTCTCTGAAACCTGGCAGAGGCAATGGGGATATGTTATGACGCTTCGTGTGTTTTGGTAAGGTTAATATGCAAATCAACTCAATCATGTAACCATGAGGGGTTGTCTTTCACGAAAAGAGTGAGAGAGTTAAAATTTATTGTCGCATCGGCATTATTGCCGCCATATAGCGACGAGAACATTATTGATATATGTACAATTAAATCACGAATACAAAGTTATATTTAAAAACAAATTTTGTCAAACATATTGGGCAAAATATCATTTACTGTTTGAAACACGGGCTATAAGCCACCAGCAACCACAGCTAAGCCACTTCGCTGAGGATCATGGGGCCTTACGGTGCCTCAGTTTGATTACATCATGGTAAATAACGCTCTTTCACTTCGCAGAAATGCACGGTTAAACCCCATATATAACACTTCAGCTAAAACAAGGATTTCACGAGCAGAATCAGATAGGGCCATTCGGAAACAACGGGTTCGTAGGATGATTCGAAATATATTTCTCTTTGGAACTCCTTTGGGGGAGCCATAAAACAAAGTGCCTCAAGTGTTAGGTTGTACATATTGAACACAGACCTAAGAAAGGTTTTAATTTTTCAATTTTAAATGAGCAGGGGAAGCCTATTTGGATGAGCATGGCGGTGTAAGCAAGGCTGGAGAGTCAGTTGTGGAACATATAGCTTCCCAAACGAGAATGGATGAGAAGTCATCTTGCCTTGAAGCAGCCTTGACCTCACATCCTTAGTATTGTGTCTACGCAAAACGTTTCATAACCTTTGGCGTGGCGTGGCGTGGCGTGGCGTGGCGTGGCGTGAGCTAGACTAACATTTAGTCCCAGAAATATAGTTATCTTATCCAAAAATATATATCCACAAAATATAGAATATAAACAAATGGAGCCCCAAACAATGCTTAATTTCATTGTAGAGCTGAGGCAATGTAGACTTGCCAAATCATTCTAGACTGGAGTTGGATATATTTTTTATATATTGTCTTGGGCTAGAACTCAACATAATCGAAATACACTCATGCGTTTTTCCTTGTCTTAGCTTCTTGGCTGAACTCTTTGATTTGATCACGGGATAACAATAATGGCGCCTCTCTCGTCGACCACTTAAATTATGCCTTGTATTATGACATTGAATCATGGAATTAAATATTTTGGCAAGATAGACAATATATTTAGATATCAATATTATTTGACTTTAACAACTGGGCATTTTGCTTTCGAAGTTTATTGACATAAATACAGAAAACACTCACACTTAAACAACCGAATCAAGGTTTCTCAAACTCCTTCTCGAGTTACATCACAGAGGTCAGTAAAATATAATGTTTTATTCATATTTATTCAGCTGATTAGATATCATTTCATTAAGAAAAATATATAGTAATAAAATATCATATGAATATTTCAGTTAAAGAAAGATATAAATTAATGTTAGGGTTTTCGCCAAAAGTTTAAACCTAATGATCGATCAGGAAAAATACATATATTAAATAAGTCCAAACCAGTTGTGTGGAAGGATATTACAGGTGTGAGGGTCTCATCACCAGAACGTACAGTCATGGTACCTATCTGATGCTCACAGGAGCACGGCAGCAATCTCATTAAAATCTGAAACGATACCTGTATCAACCCTGTTGTGTCAATAACACAGGTAAACACCCATATAACAGCATCAACAACACAAATATCATCGAAATCTAGATTCTTTATTCAGCAGACATTTAGTATATGACAGCTTTACATAGTACTGTTATAAGTAACAACAAGTAACAACTTTAAAAGATCAAAGCGTTAAATGATGTTAAAAAAGTAACGTCAAATAGGCTCTCTAAATACAGGAGGTATCTCAGGTTATCACAAAACAACATCAAACAGTAAGTGGTTAGGGCATGATCCGTGATCCTTGAACATTGCTTGGGTTCTTTTGTTTGTTTTTACTGCAGCAAATACAAAGAATATCACATGGTCGGTCGCATTCATCTTGTTACGTGTTAGAAGAAAGCCAAAAGTGACGCAGGTTTTGTTTGTTTGTTTGTTTGCTGCGTATTTGATGAAACCCACGAACGATAACAACGGATCACACTCGGGGCGAATTTTGGATTCGAACTCAGGCACAGATAAAGACAGAACCATGGACACCTAATACGTAAGGGTTCATGACAGAACTCAGCAAAGTGAGTTGCAACGCCTTATAGTACTGGACCACTTGGTTCTAGTAACAGGATCATAGTCAGGGGTGTAATAAACTATGTCGTATTTCAATTAGGAGCACTGCGGGACAACCTTAAACTATATCAATTATCAACATATACCCATCAACAGTCTCAAACCTTTAGGCAGAAGTTTCAAAATACAAAACTGAAATAGTCTCCAAATGACGCATCCCTCACATCGACACTTATTTTCTTGAGTGTTAATATATCAATATCGTCCTGAATCACCTCCAAATAAGTTTCCGTTAACTGCAAACTTGCGGTTACGTTTTACTAGCTGTTTGCTATGACAATAAACTTATATTACGCCATATTACGGATCAACCTCACAGAAATGTGCATTCCAATGTATTAATAGGCAATAATTATCTTGCGGTTCCAGTATAACACCAATAGTTCAGATCGAAAACAAGAACCGGTGGTTGTTTCGTGGAAGCCGCCATCTTGTTTTCCAAAACCCGTCAAGTTTTCGATCTGGAATCCTTCTTCAAAGTTCAGGATAATGAAACGTATTTGGAGGTGATTCAGGAAGACATTGATATATTGATGTTCCTTGATAAAGATATGATAAATGAGTACGCTATGAGCTAATGATTAGTCCCATGCCGCGATGTCAAACTGTGGTGCTACAACTGGGGGAACGACAATGATCCTTAAGACCACTATGACATCAATGAAACACTACAGACACTAAGAACTAAGACAGTAACTATCCAAAGACAAGTGAGAGGCACAAGACTAAGGAAAGAGTTTGCTACTTGATTGTATAACGCCAGTTGGCCGGTAAAGAGCATTACATGGTCTAGATTAGCTTCTATTGGGCGAGTATTTGTATCTATTACAAAGTGATAATAGTAACGATATCGTCCTCGTTTTTCTAAAGTTCTCCTCCCAGCCTTCTAGAAGCGTCCACTTGTGCCAGGCTGTGATTAAGTGAGTTTGGTTTAACCTGGCTATGAACAACATTTCATTTACATCACATGGTGTCAGCTTCAAGATGGAGGAAAGTCCCCAGTGATGCAGATCTATTACCACTTTATGGTGCTGACAAACCAAGTAACATAATCAGGGGGAAAAGGTTTCTGGCATTCCAAAGGGGAACATAACTCTACACAGCGAATTGCGGCACCTCAGACGACTTGACCACCGGTCCCTCTCCCAGATTTAGTAATGCCTGAAGTAGACGAGGGCGAACAACATGACGAACATGACACAGAACTTGTGAACAGAATGGGCGAAACAGTGAGAGAAACTGTTGCTGTTGTGAACGATGTGCGGAGCTTGCAAGGTCATGTACACAAGGGTCAAGAAGCAGGACAATATGGCGGCGTCCTCCCATCTCCCGACACTCCAGTAATTCCTGTAATAAAATTCATTTACATGAATGAGTTCGTTCGGAAGCTTGCTTTGGTTTGTTTGATGCTTAAGGCAACATTCTGCAACATATTATTCCAGCTATATCCCGATGGCCTGATAATCGAGTCTCGACCAGACAAACCCGTACTTGATATGTTTAAGCAATTGAGTGGGGTGGGGATGTGGGGGGTTGGTCTTATGTCTGTATCATATTTTGTGCCCTCGGCCCTTTATGTAACATTTTGTATACCCTGCTCCAAATACATGCAACAATTTTTTTATGACCCCCGCCTCACCCCCTACAACATATGGCCAATCCCTCCCTAAATAATTTTCAAATATATATAAAAAAAGAAATATTAAAAGAAATATAACTGTGTCATTTTTTCAGGCCCTACCCCCTACCCCCTGAACGATTTAAGATAAAAAGATAAAGCTGTCCAGAAAGGACACAATATATGCACAATGCATTTCACACATTAATCAGTCCACAGAACAGTGTTTGCTAAACCAGTGAAGTTGACCGAAGGTTAACAATTAATTTGCCTTTTACTAGTGGTGTTATAGCTAGGTACTCACTCCATGAGGAACTTGAGAAGAACTACAAGCCCAACATCTGAAACAAGGGCGGTAATCAGATATCTGTCACCTATCCTCCGCCCCCAGGGGGCGTTGTTGTTATACCACAGGAAGCTCATGGCTTCCGCCAATACCACTGCAATCACCATTGAGACGCTGAAGTTGACCTTGATTTCCATGGCAAAGAAGTGAAGAAATGCTACCTGCAAAAAAAATGGTTGTCAAACATTCGTTTTGGATATATAGACATGTCCGTTTACGGGTATGGGTTACTGAAATATATGGAAATGATTATTAATACATCATGCAGTTGCTGACCGATCGTTAATATAATGATGACAACTGAGAGAGTGAGTGAGTGAGTGAGTATGGTTTTACGCCGCTTTTTTTTAGCAATATTCCAGCAATATCACGGCGGGGGACACCAGAAATGGGCTTCACACATTGTACCCATGTCGGGAATCGAACCCGGGTCTTCGGCGTGACGAGCGAACGCTTTAACCACTAGGCTACCCGACCGCCCCACAACTGAGAGAGAGAGAGAGAGAGAGAGAGAGAGTGCTTCATACATTGAGCCCCATGTAGGGAATCGAACCCTGGTTAACCATTATCCAAAGAAGGTTTTAACCACTAGGTTACCCTACCATCCTTGTATGTATACCTATGTAAAGCTATGTATGCGTATTTACCCTTTATAAAGAGCTGATTTAACCCCTGAAACTAGTGTCATTTCTCATGTACATAACCAGGTAAATCGAACATAAATGTGAATCCTATTAACTGTAATACCTGTACAAGACAGAGTAATACAGTGAAACCTTGTTTAACCGGAAACCCCTCCTTCAAGGCAATGGTTTTTGTTTTGTTTTTGTTCGGAAAGACATATACAATTAAAGGGACGTTACTCTATAACAGTATTTGTTTGATTTGATTACAAGAGCACCTCGCTCGCTGTAAACAGTCCCACGAGTTTCACTGCATGTTCACATGGAACGTGTAACATATAAACCATGAAAATGTGCAATACACTTTCTTTGGTCTGTATCATACCACGGATACAAGTCCGTGATCATACGTAAAGAACCTTGATGCAAAATCCACACCCCCATTCACACACCCCCTACGCGGATTCATACAGTTTGCACATCGTTTTTTCGCACGCACGCACACACACGTCACACGTCACACATATTTACATTATCCTAAAGTAAGGAGTATCAATTATATCTTCTCGATAACTGTCATGACATGAGCATAATACATATCATCAATGTTATCATACACTCACCCATTGCATAACAGTAATTTCTTCATATACATACAGCCATTTGAGATAAATCTACAACCATCCCTTTTCTTTTTTAAATCATAATATTTCCGCTATGGCCAATTTTATCATGATATGCATAAATACAGAGATCTATATAATATTCATTTTGTTTTTCATTTCCTTTGATATTAAAGTGTCAAGAGCTTCTGTTCGCCTCTGTCGTCTTACGAGAACCCAACCCTCTTCAACGCATTCCTTATCTTGACAAAGCAACAACAGGTAATACAATGCAAGTGTTTGTGATAGGCATGCATGGGTCCACCTGTTTCGTGTCGATAGACAAACTACCAAGTCAGCAGAACTATTCGACCGTGCACACGGCCGTACAGTTTATCTTCAAGCAGTGTCAATGTCAGGGGGAAATATTACCCTCCAAAAGAAAAATTGAGTTGGTATCAACATTAAAACTGAAAATTGTTTGAAAGTAATTTGTTATGCTTCACATGTATCTAACCGCTGCTAACTGCGTGATCAGAGACCATATAATAGTATATGGTCTCTGGCGTGATGTATTAATAAACTGAATATACATTTTGACAGGCACTGCGCATATATACGACATGATAACCTGTTAGACACATAGATCTATGTAGAATGTGAGTTCGATCTTGAAATCCTAATGAAAACATAACTGACCAACCCTCCCTGCCAAACGGCAATCGGTTCTCGGCAAACTGTTTATGAATATTGACCACAAATCGAGTTCACAAATTCACTGACAAAATCGAGGCTACATTGTGACTGTAGCTGAAAGCAGTTTGTGATGTGAACAAAATATCAACATAAATATCAATTCGATATCGTGAAACATCAACACCAAGCATACTAACCTGTCTATAACGATAAGTCTTCGCAAAGGAACGCGCTTTCAACAAAGACCTCTGAGCTCATCGGGTCAAGGTGAAGGCCGTTTCCGCCACGATGCTTTGTTTGTAAACATTCAGAAGGGCATAACGCATGCTCCTTACCGCGGAATATGAACGTGCCGGGAAGATTCACTTGTTGCCCACATAGGCGATGTTTGTGTATCGGAGTGGTCATCCCACTTTCAAGAAAACAATGATTATTATTTATAAATTAGAAAGTGTTCCTCATGTATAGTCAATAGCGTGCTCCCAGGGATAATGAAATTATTTTCAGTAATTCTCCCTGAGCATCCTGAGTTTTGCTTCATGCGGCCCGGCTGGTTCACGCTCCGTTGTTTTCAATGACTTCAACCTTTGTTCATTGCGTCACATACGGTTTTATTACCCCTAGGGTTAGGAATAACCGAGTTATTAAAACTCGTAAGTGCAAAAGTGCAAAAAATCACCAGTGTATTGTTGACGTCATTCGAATCTTATTTTGTGCATTTTTTTAAAGGGGTGCTCAAAATTATTATATAACACTGGGTAATATAGACGTTAATACACACGCTCGTGTGCCATACTGATTTTATAAAACTCGTGTTCGCTCTCGTTCGGGGAATACAAGAGTTCTGACACTCGTTTTGTAAAATCGTATGAAAACACGTGCTGTATAGTAATCTGTATTTATGTGACGTTGTTCCAACATTATACTGAATGTGCTGATGGCGAGGGTTGGTGGGGGGGGGGGGGTGTCAAGGTATAATTTTTAACTCCGTATAATCAGTGCGTTCGATCAACATACTTTTTTTTTACTTGATTCCACCGAGATTAACACATTTCTGATTCAATCGGAATGAACCAGTGTTAATCAAGAATTACCCGGAACAAGTCCCGTGAAGATTCGGGTTAGCGTTGGTATTCATCAACCCATGGGTGGTCAGGCTCGGTGACTTGGTTGATGCATGTCATCGTATCCCAATTGCGTGGATCGATGCACATGATGTTAATCACTGGGTTGTCTGGTCCCGACTCCATCATTTACAGACCGTCGTCCGATACTTATGCGGTGTTAAACAAAAAACAAAAAACACAGTACCCGAAATAAATCGTTAACGAAGTATATTTAATATAATGAACCAGGTTTGATAGTACATATGTATTCTGATTTGCATCCGTGAAATTATTGTTGCATTGTTGATTCTAAAGCATGTATATCAACAATTGATGTTCTACGCTTTGTTTTGAACTTTATGGTTGTTTTACATACAATAAACAGGAAAGGCACAATGGCAGCTTTGTCAAACAATGAAGTGGTTGTTCCCCTCGCATAGTTGTGTGTTATACCAATACACATGGCTGTTCTGTTTCGCCGTCTCCTGGCATCCATTCTGTATTATATCCGAGGTTGCATTTTGTGCGGTTTATTTCGGATACTGCCCTAAGTTATCCTTGATCAACACTGGTTAACGAAGGTTGAATCTAGTCAACCCCATTTACCAGAAATGTGGTAACCTCGGTTGACACAGTACACTCAAATTGTAAATAATTGAACGCGCGTTCTGATTTAATAATGAAAAATAAATTTAAAGTAAATGGATATATTTAACAAGGTATTGATTGTATATATGTATCCTGATATGCCCCTTGGAAATTTAACTTTCAGTTGTTGATACAAATACTTTTGAATTAAGGCTCAGTTGGTATGAGTAACTTTGGTCAACCAAAGCATGACATATATCAGTTATAACATGTGCCAACATTGGTCAACCAAAGTTAACTTGCATTTGCCTTGGTCAACACGGGTTCACCTGGGTCGTCTTTGGTTTTGAAATCGAAGTGAAGAAGTGCAGGTCAGTGGCCAATCTCTGTCACTACATATAGAGGTTTCCAAGAGAGTGCTTTCGAATGGTAAATATCCTGTATTGGAAATACAGAGTTGCGTCCCTTTGGTACGCCAGAAACCTCTGATTGGGGGTTCGATTTCCGGATCGGCCTGATTTTCTAGTTTTGTCAACTCCATACCCGTGCTCGTGGGTTTCACCAAAATGGTAGACGTCTAAAACCTGTATCACTTTGGGTTTCCCCCCACATTAAATCTGACACGCAGTGATATAACTGGAATGCTGAGTGTTCAAAGCGACGTTAAACCCAACTGCCTCAGTCTAAAACTCTAACGTCGAAAATAATATTATCATTGCTCTCAAACGGTAACTAAACAGAAAGTTTATCTTGGAATGTGCGCAACAATATATTGCATCACGAGTCAATGGTTAGTCAGTCAGACAGTGAATGTACCTCCATTTGAAATTTGTTTTTAGACTTAGACTATTTTTATACTTATAACAATGACGTGGTACGTGACGACATAATTCAATGAAAGTTCGAAAAATATCTACAAAGGTTGAATTCATGTTATAGGAAAACACTTAAACTGATCATCACGGATGCCGTCTTCATCCCTTAACTCTATTCTGTCGAGAAACCTACCCATTTTATGATAAATATGTAAAATAACACACACAAATTACGCGTGTGCTGTTGTTTTTAAACCGTGGTGCTCAGGCAATATTAATACAGATATCTAAAAGAGTTATTATAATACCATATCGTGATTATACAGATCCGTACGAACACACACAACATAGCATAGCAATGTACACAACCTTTATTCGCGGGAATGTATGTGCTGGCGAGCCATGTTCTTATACGTTAAAGAGTACGTGGATCTCATTTCTTCACATATACCAATGCCAGCACTATCAATGAAATGTTCACGAAAGCATGTGTAGTTTTAAAAATTGCAGTGATGCAGCTAAACACATTCGGGATAACTGCGATGGTGGGGTAGATATTTAAGGAGTAGAACGCTGTCAGGTATCCGGCGAGTTTTAGTCCTTCTTTCCAGTTCCTTACTGGATGTAGACGTCTGAAACACAACAGTGACTGAAATTATTTTGTTATTTTGATTAATCATTATCACCATCATCACCGTACCCCGACGGAGTGGAACGTTATCATTTTATAATATCAAAATATCGATCACTGAATTGTCTGGACCAGTTTCCGAATATTTACAGGTCGCCGCCATATCCTTTGTACGGCGTCAACGAAAAACCATAGCCGTTTTCAACAGTATTTCAATTATATCACGTCGTGTCATCTTAAGAAGGGAGGAAAGAAACCATTGACAATGTCTCGGAATTTACCATTGTACAGTGAAACGCACGAGCACGGACATGGTGCTGACAGACCAAAGACATTATCAGGGCGAGTTTGGAACTCAAGCCCACGACCATAAGTATGTGCTACGCCTAAGGGACGCAACTCTGCACAGCGAATTGTGGCGCCAAAGACGCCTGGGACAACCGTGCCCTAGCTTGGTCTCGCGACTGTTTCGGGAGCGTTATATACTTACTCTATGATATATCTGATCATGTAGAACAACCCGATGTCGCAGATGACGCTGGTGATGAAATGTCTTCGATCGCTACCCAACCATCTGAAGTAAAGCATAGGCGCAAGTAGCAGCTCCGTCACTAGGATTGTTATCACCATGGCAATATAGAACTTCCGCTTGTCCATCTTGGTACTGAATGCAGCAGTGGCCATGGGAGTCGGTAACTAAAATAGAAATATGGATAGTTTCGATACGTTCGTAAACATTATGTAGGGACTGTGCAGTGGAATACTTTGGATTGCTAGCAGTTAAATGATCTCAATGTATTGTCGACCCAGCAAAACTAAACTCAACTAAACTTAACGTGACATTACAATATTCCGACTACACGACACATTGTAATATATATCTACCACGATGAACTGACCCTGCGCCCATCATGGTTTATTCTCCATACAGTGTTTTATTGTACGATAAACAACGACCAGGAGTAGTTTATATCTTAAGTTCAAGGTAAGTGTGTGTTTGTGTGTGTGCGTGCGTGCGTGCATGCGTCTGTGTGTGCGGGTGCGGGTGCGGGTGCTTGTACTAGCCCGGCTTTATTGTGCTACGACAGTCCGTTGATATCAACATAAATGTACACGGATTTTTTTAAGTACACTTCGGTCTGTTATCGATACTTTAATAAGCAGAATTTATGAATATGAGGATCAAGGTACACATACACATTCGCACATTGTTTTCGTGGAACGACGCCACTGGATTGTCTTAATTTGTAGGCCGCCATGACAAATAGCAATATTGCTTCGTTGAATAATATTCTTTATGAAATAACCATCAATGATATAAAACATGTTGCATCTGCAATAGAGCCAACTTGGAGACGGTCATATCACAGGGGGTGTAAAAACCAGACCCTTATTTTGGACACAGCCGGGTTGATATGGCGCGGCAATGCCTTTTGAAGGGACGAGGGTATAAGAAATTAGAGTTACGTCCCCTAGTGTGTCGTCTGCTCGTCTGCTAGGGCTGGCATTCCCGTGACGAAGTCTCCGAAACAAGGTAAATATGTATTGCATTCCATTTGATTCCAAAATTATTGTGAAATTATCCAGCAGGTTTGTTAATATCAAATGCAAAATATTTTGATATATGACATGGTTTACTCGTGGGGATTCCGGGTGAGAATATAGTCCCTAGCAACCTATGCCTGTCGTGCGACTAAATGACCGGATGGTCAGGCTCGGTGACTTGGTTGATTTCTTTTTATGTTATATTTTTTTTTATCCCAACTGCGTTAATGCCAGTCACTGTATTGTCTGATCCGGACTTGATTATTTACAGACTGTTGTCATATAGCTATCATATTGCTGAGTGCAGTGTTAAACAACAAACAAGACTTTCATCGGTTCTCGAAAATCGCACTATTGCATTTTAGATTTAACAATAACCTAATACACGTTTGGTGATGAGTAGGCATATATTGAATTACAGTAAACTACGCTTATAACGAACACGCTTATAACGAACTGACCGATATAACGAACTTATTTTTTAGTCCCGGCCATTTGTTGGATTATAATGCTTATAACGAACTAAAATTAGTGGCTCCTATGAGTTCGTTATAACCGTAGTTTACTGTAATTGTTGTAAATACATTGTATAACTGTTCCTATCCCAATAAAATATCATGACCACTCTACGACCCTTAATTTTATACTTGATATTGAAACTGACATTGAAATGAATGCATTGCTGACGAAAAATTGACGGGTACGTATTTCAACGAACTTTTCAAGATACTGCACATTAATAATGTAATTAAATGTCTTTGATACCAGTTGATTTGCTGTCAATGTAACCAACCTGCATAGTCGTCGTAGCCAAGTGTGGTGTATATTCTATATTTACCTAGTGAAAACAGAAGAGAGCAGAGAACTAGCGAAGCGAGGAGTTTGGATTTCAGGCCACGTCAAACTCTTGACAATCATGAGTAAACTTGCTGGACAAAGACAGGAATAGGCGTGTCCCGGTATCTAGCCCCGTTGTGGACATTGGTCTACTTCCAACAGACATACGAGTCAGATAACTTATACCATGGCAATTTGACACGACACGTTAAAGGTCTTCCAGCCATGCATATGAAGGTAGAAATACAACAGCCGTCATATATGTCATAATGCTAAACATACACCACATAAAATGCTCTCTCAGAACAAGGCGTCAGGTGTTGCCTGCATATAGTGTAGAAATCACTCAACTCCGTTGATTCTACTTCGGGAATCAACAGATTCAAGTGATTTCTCCTATTTAAACAACCATGTTATGGTTGATATATAATTCTCATAATTTTACATAATGACCAATATAGTTGTATCAGATTTGCTTGTTAAATTGCAATTTCAGCATGACCATAACATTACTGGCTCAGAATCAACTACAACAATACCGTGATCCCATATGATGTCATTAGAGTGGTTCAAATGACGTTAATCATATGATGTAAATATCGCTCGCTGTCAGAGCGTACTTTATAGATAGCCGAACAGCGCTATTCATACCATGCAGCTTATAAATAAGCACCGGGTTAGATGTTCAATAAGAAAGTATATTCCGTCACATATATGATGTTTCGTAAATTTAATAATTGGTTATTGTATGTCAATGGTTTCAGGGAAGCATGGGCCGAATATGAATCGTACATTTCACAATCTCTTGTATATAGAGTTTTGACGCGGTGGTGTACGACTAGCCGTATCGCCCATGTAGGCCACTCGATGTGTGTAAATACTACCATCTCTCTACAGTAAAACCACCTGTTAACTAAACTTTTTCTGCTGACTCGCTGGAAGTTACAAGCGAAGTTTAGATACCGCATGCAGAGATTAAATGAGATTTATAAGCCTAGATAGTTAGTTGATGGGATATTGTTGCAGAGAGAAGCTCACCTTATCCTGATGGTATGTCTGAGATGGGTGGGACGAGATTTGGAGAACGCTGGCTACGCTTGACCTGTGAGGTCAGTATGACTAAGGTGAAAGTAAGGTGGGTGAGTTGAAATGGGATTTACGTGGCGTTCAAGATTATTTCACTCGCAGAGTAACGTGCAGGCGCGCGTGTGCGTGCGTGCGTGCGTGCGTGCGTGCGTGTATATATACGTACATGTACAAGTCCGGGTTTATGCCCGTTTTATAGTGCCAGCTCACTGATATACCATGCCGCAGTTTTTAGCATACATAATTATACCTGGGAGACTACACAAAGTTTGATATATAGAGAGACTCCCTGATTATACTTCGTGCCTATCAGTCATTGTTTTATCCCATCAATGCCGATCGCAAGGCGGGGTAACAGGTAGTACAGTTATATTATCGCCATGAAGCACATGTTTTGAAAAATAAAATAATTACTTCAGTATAAAGTAAACATAAGGCCACAATAAATTAATTACTTTATTTTCATATAACAAACATATCGAGGCATCAGTTAACATTACTGTCGAGGGAAGGGGCTCACGTGCGTGGAGGACTGTATGGACGTCGTATTTTATAAAGTAGATCAAGACGGGTATAGCGATTTTCTTCATCTGTAGGTACTTGGGGACTGCAAAATAATGAGTAATTAGTTTTGGTAGAACATTGTTAATCACACGAACATATAACTGTATAATACAGAGTCAATGTTCTTCAGATTTTGTAATCATGTTGTATCGAAAACTTGTATGTGTGCATCGCAAACAATCAGAAGTGATAAATGCACTTTTGCATGTATATTTTTGTTTGGCGAAAAAGGAACGAGTATTCGCCTCTGTAGACTGTCTGACAGACCCTGATACAAATATATCAAAAACAGCCCATGCAGGTCTATAATGTTTGGCAAGTCTAGATTACTGATTTTCTGAAAATGATGAAATTCTCCGGGCTCCTTTTTATGATGTTTTTATTAAGATAATTAAACAACTGGTTTTTCTCTGTACGATATGTTCATTTCAGAGATTAGATGTTAGTCTACCACCTCTGTGCCCATTTAGATATTACCCTTTATATAGTCTGGCCACTAAAAGCCATATTTACCTTGTGTGCTGTATAAATATGACCTGTCACTGCCATTGTTGTAAATCTGTTTGACTGATCTAGGTATAATTACCTTGATGCAGCTGTCTCTACCATTTCTATCCCTATGTTGTACAAGCACAGACACCCAATAAGCTTTGGTCTCTGTGGTATCAGGCTTTGCCCAGAAGGCTGTGCAGACTTACCTCCCTTATGGTGCCCGAAATCTACGATTGTTGTTCAATTATGATTATGTTTCTAGGTTTGTCAGCACCATACCCACTGTAAGTTTCACCAAAGTGGTAGCCCTGCATCACTTCAGGCATTTTTCCAACATCAAGCTGACGGGCTGCTAAATACTGTTTAAAGCAAAACCTTAAATCGAACTCACTAACTCCCCCCCCTCCAAATATGTATCAATGCCATGGAACTTGTACACGAGCGAGAGTAAATGTAAAACGAATGGTGTGTACTGCAATCTGATTTTTTGAAAAACATTGATAAAAGGGAAAATGGATACCACTTAATTAAAGTTTGATCAATATTTATCAGCACAACTTCAATGTAGTTGTTTATTCACATTGTCACATGATTGTGCTAACCAGTCAGTTCAGTTACTACAGAAGCATATGTGTGGTCATCCTTTGTCATGAGGTCATTGCATTCCAAGGTGATGTCGGTTCCACGTTTCTGGACATGCAATACTCAACAAAACCTGCAAATATGAAAACACATGATGTTTATTTCCTAATCAGAGTCCTACAGTTTAACACTGCTTCAAGATTATTGCACTTATATAGTGGTGTTCATGGGTGTGTGGCTGCTTGTACATGCTTACTTACTTACTTAAATTGGTAATTTAATTTGCGCTTTCCGACATATGGTCGAAAAGGGTATGTCCAAAAAGGTGAGGCAACCTTTAGGATTGCTTACTTAATTTGGAGGACAAATTTGGAAATTTGAAATATGCCATGCAAAAGGAGGAGGGGGGACTAAATGGAGTTTGTGTGTTTTTATAGGTCGTACATGCTAGGCTAATGGTTTTATAGTGCTAGCCAACTACCCGGTATAGTGTGGCAGTTAAACATGGATACCCAGTTCAGACAGTGTGCTAAGGTTTGTCGTAGTTATTCCCCCTCAATGCTGAGTGTCAGGCATAGGAACAACAGGTACAATGAACACACAATGCCATTTAGAAAGTTGTCAAATGTAACAAATGTTATATTTGGGATAACACAGGTACAATCCTTTAAGGTATATTTTGGCATTATGCGGCCACCGACCTTCCTCTTCATGCATCAACAGAGGTGGTCACTTTGTCAAACAATAAATCCCCAGCCATTATTCTCATTAACTTGCAATGTTTGATGAGTGTGTGCTGTGCTGTACTGTGATGTGTATGTCCACCGGTTGATTGTAACTCACTGTGATATCAGGACTATCACACACACTCCCTCCTTAGATTGAAAACAAGATAAATCTGTTCCACAATGCTGTCTTTATTCAACCATGTGTTGTACATGACGCTTACAGCTGTTCGCATGACAGACTGGGTTGGTGACAATATTTACATACACCTCTATGTACAGCTTATATACACCAGACATCCTCATCACCCACCACATCTGACTGCTTCATCATTCTTGTCCACTATCAGTGAGGCAGCAAGTTTTCAACTTTCTCTCATGAAGGTATTCTTAGACCTGTTAAACATTGGAGTACCCAACAATTTTAATCCAGAATATTTCATATTGCACTCTGCCATTGACCAACTTGAAGTAAGGCTTGATGTTTAGTTCAGTGCATATATTACCCTTGATATAGGTAGTGAAACAGGTTATTAGAGCACTGTGTACTTCAAAGAATATAACATCATTGTTTTCATCTATCACAATAATTTATTCCCCATTTATTATGGAAGGTATCATTCGTGACCAACTTGTTCCATTCTGGGGCAAGCTGAAATTAGACCTTATAGCTTACGGAAACATGCGAGTGCTGACGAATGGCAGAGAACTCAGTCCCATGGTTCATCTATTAATAGCACAGCACTGGAACCACTGACCGCCTGCCCGCCCACCCTTATGCGTCTGTCTGTGTGTCGTCATTAAACTAGTCACTCCTGTTTTCCCTCTCTTCCACAGAGATTTATCAATCGAGGTAAAAGTTACTTCCTGTAAGGATGATGATATAAACTACTAGTCATGATATACACAACCAGTAGTATACGACTAAAAAATTTTATTGAGATACTGAGTAATTTCAGACAGTGACCAAACTCTGATTAACAACTTATTGAAATGTGTTTTTGTCTGCGTTTACTTGAAACAGTGATATGTCATGGCAATATCAGACACTATTTGTAGGACAACTTCTCCCCAATCAGTGACATTCAGTTCTCACCTGGACACTCAGATTATCCTTTTACACTTTTACAACATGAAGGATGATCTGACAGTACAATGACACTGCCAGAAACCATATCTTAAATCAATCATATACAATATGTTTTAATGTAAATTTTCAAGTAACATTGACAAATTTTACTTTGCTATAATCACACATATTAAATAAGAGGTGTTGGTCCTGAGCATCTATCTGAGTGATGCATCGTCGACTACAAACACCTGAGCTATCTCATCATGTTCATAGGTGCGCTTCAAGAAGTTGTCTGTAAGTCGCAGGCCTGATATTGTCTGGAAAAAATAATAATAAGGTCACTATAACTGAATTATTAGATTGTCAACAAAATTATTAGTCCCGGAATGGTGGTCAGCATGGGGGTGGGTGGGGACTATGTAAGTATACCTGGAGTCCCGGAATGGTGGCCAGCAAGGTGGGGGGTGGGGGGGGGTACTATGTAAGTATACCTGGAGTCCCGGAATGGTAGCCAGCAAGGTGGGGGGTGGGGGGGTACTATGTAAGTATACCTGGAGTCCCGGAATGGTGGCCAGCATTTGGGGATAGGGACTATGTAAGTATACCTGGAGTCCCGGAATGGTGGCCAGCATTTGGGGATAGGGACTATGTAAGTATACCTGGAGTCCCGGAATGGTGGCCAGCATTTGGGGATAGGTACTATGTAAGTATACTTGGAGTCCTGGAATGGTGGCCAGCATGGTGAGGGGAGGTGGGGGGACTATGTAAGTATACCTGGAGTCCCGGAATGGTGGCCAGCATGGGGTTGTTGGGGTAGGTGGGGACTATGTAAGTTTACCTGGAGTCCCGGAATGGTGGCCAGCATGGTGAGGGGAATGTCCATGCTGTCATTCTGCTGCAGCTTTCCCAGCTGTTTCCCCGAGATGCCACACCACATGAGACCCGTCACGCCCTGGTTCTGGAGAGCCAGTGTCAGGTCCATTGTCCTCTCACTGAAACAACATCAGACCACGTCACACAACATCCTCAACATGACCACCACATAGTTTGTCACAGGGTCTCACTATGAATGTGTCTGGATGCTACATTACGCCCCTATCCCTACTTCCCGTACTGTATGTATGTGTATAGACTTTCTCTCCTGGTTTAGAATCAGTGATGTAAGAAGATCATAAAATTTAGCCATCAGCATGAACAAGTGTGTGATAAATTATTTTCCTTAAAATAAAATAGGTATAAGTACAGCATATTCTGAAAAAAAAACCCATCTGAATGATAAAAACTTTTTTGGTAATGCTACAATCGTGGGATCATTTATCAAAGATATAAAACTAATTATAAGAAAAGGGAGCTAACTCCCAATTTAATACATTGCAGGAAACTTTAAAGTGCAAAGTCATTTGACTTTAAACTTCGGCAGATCAACAAATAATTTAAACTTTTCAGTGCAATATGTTTGTGACGTCATCATGTCATGGATTCTTCAAGTTATGTACGTAAACAACAAAAATATTTTTATATTATTTAACAAATGAGTTCTGAACATGGTGTCATCACACATTATCAAAGAGATAAATAGTTGTAATATATTGATTTAACAGCAGAGATGAAAATGTTCGCCCAATTCAAGGCATTTTATGAAACTGTAAACCTTTTAGCTTGGAAGATTTAAATGTAAACATGTTTTCATGTCTGTGCGTAGGTTTAGTTTGTTGACCTAACCAACTGGTATGTCAAGAAACACATATTCCAAATTTGGTGACATAGTCATTCAAAACAGATGAATTGAACACATTTTCAGCCTTAATGATGCTAAACATATGTATTTTCTTGCTCAATGTATTTCAACAAAACATTAGAGCATTTACATCTCATTGAGTGACTGATACAGTTGTAGTGAACAATGGGGATGTGATTAATCAGTAGGAAAGTGTAGGGAGCTGACTCAGCAGCTTGAGATACCCACCAGCAGTTTGTGATCCTGCACGTGAGAGCGAAGGTCCCCTCTAGCGCCACAGTGTCCGGGACAGACTCCACTGTCAGACGGATGTCACCAAACCCAGGAGCCTGTTGAGAAGAAGCAATCAGAACATACACAGACACCATGCAGCTCTCAAAACTAGTTTGAAAATGACATCATAAATCTGACTCTCTAAATCTGCTCGCAAAACTGATATGAATCAGGGCATTGGATAGAATGTTTGATCTGTGAAAATGTGATCTCCCTTCCACTGTACAATGTCACTTTATATTATTCTCACAAAGAGCCTAATGGAGACTGTCAACTTCCTCTACCTCAATGTCCATAACACAAGTTACACTCCCTAGACAGATTGTAGGGAGAATCTACCTTTCACTATCACAAGTTCCTTCCACTCCCTGGAGCTGATTGTAGGGAGAATCTACCTTTCACTATTACAAATTCCTACCACTCCCTGGAGCAGATTGTAGGGAGAATCTACATGTCACTAACACATGTTCCTGCCACTCTCTGGAGCAGATTGTAGGGCAAATCTAGCCCTATTACAAGTTCCTACCACTCTCTGGAGCAGATTGTAGGGCAAATCTAGCCCTATTACAAGTTCCTGCCACTCTCTGGAGCAGATTGTAGGGCAAATCTAGCCCTATTACAAGTTCCTGCCGCTCTCTGGAGCTGATTGTAGGGCAAATCTAGCCCTATTACAAGTTCCTGCCACTCTCTGGAGCTGATTGTAGGGCAAATCTAGCCCTATTACAAGTTCCTGCCACTCTCTGGAGCAGATTGTAGGGCAAATCTAGCCCTATTACAAGTTCCTGCCACTCTCTGGAGCAGATTGGAGGGCAAATCTAGCCCTATTACAAGTTCCTGCCACTCTCTGGAGCAGATTGGAGGGCAAATCTAGCCCTATTACAAGTTCCTGCCACTCTCTGGAGCTGATTGTAGGGCAAATCTAGCCCTATTACAAGTTCCTGCCGCTCGCTGGAGCAGATTGTAGGGCAAATCTAGCCCTATTACAAGTTCCTACCACTCTCTGGAGCTGGCTGGTCTGCAGTCGCCCCTTCTCCCCGAGGTTTGTCTTCCACACAATATCAAGCTTGCCAATGTTGGTGACTCCCTTGAGCACCTTGTTCTCCGAGTACAGCTCCGGTCGAGGTGACAGACAGTACAGGTACTGGCGGGTGTCCATTTGGTTCAAGTAGTTGGCTTTGCCAAACACCTGCTTCATCCTGGAAGTAATGGCAGATATACCACTTTAAAAGAAATCTACTGTTTGTATGAACACAAATACATTTCCTGTAGTGCGTTCACATGGCGTTGAAGAATTGTTTAACCATTCTTCTCATGGTGTCTCATAGTGTTAAATTATTGTTTACAGTGTTCCCCCCTAGTGTACTGCCAATGGAGCTCCTATAGTGTTCCCAGTGTGCTCAGAGTGTCAGAATAGTGTTCACTCACTGCTCACATACTTTACAGTGTTCCCCCCTAGTGTACTGCCAATGGAGCTCCTATAGTGTTCCCAGTGTGCTCAGTGTCAGAATAGTGTTCATTCACTGTTCACATACTTTACAGTGTTCACATAGTGTTCATTCACTGTTCACATACTTGACATAGTGTTCACATAGTGTTCACACACTGTTCGTAGTGTTACCATGGTATGGATTTATTGTTCAGTGTTCACTCACTGTTCACATACTTTATATAGTGTTCAAATGGTGTTCATATACTTTACATAGTGTTCACCCACTGTTCACATATTTTGCATAGTGTTCACTCACTGTTCACATACTTGACATAGTGTTCACATACTTGACATAGTGTTCACATAGTGTTCACTCACTGTTCATAGTGTTACCATGGTATGGATTTATTGTTCACAAAGTGTTCACTCACTGTTCACATACTTTACATAGTGTTCAAATGGTGTTCACTCACTGTTCATAGTGTTACCATGGTATGGATTTATTGTTCACAAAGTGTTCACTCACTGTTCACATACTTTACATAGTGTCAGCATAATGTTCCTATAAAGCTAATGTAGAGTTCACACACTGTTATTTACATAGTGTTCCAATAGTGTTCACAGTGGTCACATTGTAGATATATAGTGTCCAGACTATGTCAACAAAGAGTTCCCATAGTGCTTGGCACATTGTCTTTGAGACAGCCTGGTAGACTTACCCTGTGTCTGGAGTGACAGAGTTGAGCTCCTTCACATGGTACTGTGGTGACGGCTCCAGACTGACGTGGTCCATGTAGATCGGTCCGGGGGTGATGTTCTGGATCTGAGCCTCCAGGTAAACCTCGTCAGACTACAGGTACATACAAGCCAGAGTTCCCATCAAGCAAACTCAGGACATATTCATTTACACATTTCTTTATTTACAGAAGTTAAAATACTATGTTGTGGTATAACAGACATCTAATTTATTTTTATATAAGACATTGTACATATCAAGCTGAAGAAGGATCTATAAGAATATCCAAAAAACAAGAGTTCCAAACTAATCAAGGTAAGGCATTCAAGCATTCAAAGTACCATATATTTACTCTAATCACATAGGCTTTCTCTCTATATTTGACAAAACAAGATGAATTATGTTAATACATCTACTTGGCAATACAGTGTGAATCAATTTGACTGCACTAACACTGACCAGAGTTAACCCATGTATGATAGTGATAACCATTAATGTGAAGACACTGGGGTAGGATAGTGACAAAACTAGAACAGTATATGCAAACTAGAATCAGAATACAATGATACTTTAAAAACAAAAACATTACTTTCGGACCTTGATCAAGAAAACTTCTAAAGATCCAAGTGGCGGTCGGGTAGCCTAGTGATTAAAGCGTTCGCTTGTCATACCGAAGACCCGGGTTCGATTCCTGACATGGGTACAATGTGTGAAGCCCATTTCTAGTGTCCCCTGCCGTGACATTGCTGGAATATTGCTAAAAGCGGCGTAAAACCATACTCACTCACTCTAAAGATCCAACAATTATGCAATTTTCTTAATTGTACAAGTAAAAGTGCAACAGTAACTGTCAATAAACATCTTCCCAAGGCAACGGCGTTAACTGACTATAAAAGTCCAGTTACACCCTTGCCGAACTAGGCTGGCATTTCCAGGCTCAATCGGAGCGCCACTAGTGGCTATTACGAGTTACCGGTATGTCCCTTCTATGTCCCTCCTCAGGATCTATATTGTAATAAAACATGAAGTGCATCAAATCACTTCAGCACCTTGATTAAAAACATGAAAAGATTTGCAAAAAATCTGTTGACGCCAGTTGGCGGTACACATGCTCTGCAAATGCTGCAGTCGACTGAAGTCTGCATGTTGCACTTCATGTTGTTTATGAACTGAATGTCTAGTTTCTTAAGCGATTTTGATTGGACTATGCATAGACTTGTTAGTTCAGCCAAAATGTGACTCTGGAATTCCAGCCTGGAATAGTTCATCAAGGGTAGAAACTAGACTTTTATAGTCAGTTAACACCCTTGTCTCTGGAAGATGGCAATAAATGATATGACCATGTTTAACACTAACCTCATAGATGACCTTGACTTTTTATATCAGGATTTGTAAAGATCCATGCAAACATAAAGTTTCATGCCTGTAGAGGTAACCATGCCTCAAATACTGACAACGTTAGAACCATCTTTCACAAAAACCTGAACACTGACCTTGACCTTCAACTTATCTTGACCAAAACCTTTGACCTTTTCATGACATTTGCCAATAGAATTCCAAAGGACCAATTGGAAGAAGTCCATGGAAGAATAATCTCTTATGTCAATAATCTTTGTGTGGTAAGAAACATCACCAATGGCGGCGGCAGTCAAATTCCAACAAAAACTTGAGGCAGTGCTGCTAATGACTGTTATAAAACTATCATAGACCACAGACATATATACGTCTTTGCATAGACATAATCATTAAATGATATCTCGTAATTCACTGCTTCTGAGAATAAAGTGAAACCTCGGTAGTCTGGACGATTTTGTTAGTTTTTGTTGTTTGATGGACGGTATTGTTGTTAAATGATATCTCGTAATTAACTGCTTCTGAGCATACAGTGAATCCTTGGTAGTCTGGATGATTTTGTTAGTTTTTGTTCTTTGTTTTTTAATATCGCACTCTGCAATGTTCCAGCTACTTAACAGCAACCCTGAAATAATCAAATCTGGACCAGACAAACCAGTGATTGATATTATAAGTAAAAGTCCCACACTGTCTGGGTACGATGACAATCAACCAAGTCACCATGTTTCAAAAGGATTATATTCTTTAACGATTATTCAAGATGTTTGTTAAACTGGATGAAATCAGTTGGAACCATACCGTCCAAATCAATGAAGTTTCACTGTTTAAACAATGGTAGAGATAGTAGGCAGTTTGTTAAAAAAGCTGTCTTAGGTATTTTAAATGACACCTTGAAATAAGAGAAATAAGAGATTATATACAATGGTTGAAAGATACTTTGATGGCTAGTATGTTATTAAGCTGTCTTAGGCATTATCATTAAATGATACAAGTATCTTGAAATTAACTGCTGTAAGAGGATATGTACAGTGGTAGAAAGATAGATTGAAGGCAGTATGTTAAAAAGTTATCTCAGACATCATCAAATGACACCTTGAAATTAACTGTTTTTAGAGAATATATACAATGGTTTAAAAATATTTTGATGGCAAGTATGTTACAAAGCTGTCTTTGGCATTGTCATTAAATGATACATATATCTTGAAATTAACTGCTGTATAAAGAGGATATGTACAGTGGTAGAAAGATAGATTGCAGGCAGTATGTTAAAAAGTTAGCTGAGATGTAATTAAATGGCACCTTGAAATAAACCACTTTAAGAGAAGTTATACAATGGCAGAAAGGTATATTGACAGTGATTAAATGATCCCAGGAAATGAGCCACTTTAAGAGAATATATGCAGTGGAAGAGACATAGCCTGATGGCAGTGAGTGAGAGAGGGAGGAGGCTTGATGCAGTATGTCACTGCAATGGGATGAGGCCAGAATCGTGCACATGATGTTCCATGCCCGGGGTAAGATCGCACACCAAGCCAGCCAGACCATGATAGGTGCCAGGTGACATAACTTTCAGATACCTGAATCCATTTCTTACGAAAAGCATGGTTAATAGGTATGGGTTGTCAGTTCTGAATAATAGGTACTAGTTTCTAGATGCTGAACATAAAAGTATGAGGGTAACTACCCTGAGATACACTGATATTGAGAGAAATAAGGTGATATGAGACCTCATATAATAATTATGTCATCATGCCCCCTGGCCTACCACTTGTCTTGTCAACACGCCGGAACCACGGTGTTACATTTAGTTAATTATGTTTCGGTTTCGGTGATAGTGATATATCAAATGTTTTGTACTGCTTGTAGTAGTCTGGACCGCAGTCGGTTTTATAGTGCAAGCCCATCGAAATACCATACGTTTATCATGCATACCACACTCAGACACATTATACGGACTCTTAGCCATCGGGACCTTGCTTTGTGCCCTTAATGCCAAGCACCAGGCAGGGTAACTAGAAGTACCATCTTTTTAAAAAAACATATTTTGGTATGACACGGTCGGGGATTAAATCACCGATCTTCCTCACTATCCACTAGACCACAAGGGTTTATCTGGTTAAATAAGATGATAATAAACAAAGATGCAGGTGGACCCCAACAAAGGGATCAACTTATCCAGTTTCTAATGAATGAAATTTGTATGACATTACTCCTAATTACAGTTCATTTTTTCCGGTTCATTATTTAGTTGAAATAACTAATTCACCATGCTTTTCATATACAGTACAAATTTCCTTGATTGGTGGTCCAAAATGAATCTAATTGTGTGCCAATCTCAGACGAATGACATAAATTAGTTAAAAACCAATCAAGATGCCACAAGGATTTTATCCGTGAATACATTATTCCAAGATGCAGCCAAGCATAGCAACAGGAATGATATGCAAGTTCAATCACAAGCAATTGAAACATAACTAAGATACTAAACACATTTAGTGAAAGGGAACAAAAAATTAATGAATCAAAACACCTCAGTAATATGACAAAAGCAATATCTGTACAGCGAATTGCGGCGCCTTTGACAACTGGGCCAACTGTTCCCCTGGCTATTGATGAAACCTTAGTTACTGGTGATCACTACTTCAATATATGCACACTGGCACTTTACGTCTATCAATTCACATCTTAGAACCTGAGGACATTTCTCAAGCTACCAGTAAGTAAGTGAGTGTTGTTTTGTGCTGCAGTTAGCAATATTACAGCTATGTGAAAGAAGCCTGGATACAATGATGGTTGGTTGGTTGGTTTGTTGTTTAACGCTGCACTCAGCAATATTCCAGCTATATGACGGCGGTCTGTAAATAATCGAGTCTGGACCAGACAATCCAGTGATTAATATCATGAGCATCGATCCACGCAAGTAGGTTTGATGACATGCATCAACCAAGTCAGCGAGCCTGACCACCCGATCCGTTAGTTGCCTCTTACGACAAGCATAGTTGCCTTTTACAGCAAGCACGGGTTGCTGAAGATCTATTCTACCCCGGATCTTCACGGGTCCTGTATACAATGAAGCCTTGTCAGTCTGGACCCTGTAAATCTGGACACCCAACTTCAAGGGGGTTCCTGAATAATCATCTCCTCGCTAATTGGCACATAAACAGCTCATAGGACACATGGTTAGTTTAAAGGTATGATAATACACCTTTCATCAGAGCAACATGGGCAAACAGTCTTGTTTTATTTGAGGATGCCATACCGCACAGGTGAGGGTATACAAGCAGCAGGACATTGCATGAAACACTACTACATGAACAGTATTGGAATAATTCCTTGTATTATATATACATAGAGATTTATTCATGTTGGGTTTTTTTACCATTTAGATTCTATTTCTGTCTTGAACTATCCAATAAAATTCAAAATGTTACTTTCAGGACAAAAATTACAAAAGGGGTGTTCAGATGGAACAAAATTGTCAAAAAGCTTAGCAACATTAAGGGAAGTGAATGTCTAGTGGGTTGATATTGTTAGGATGTGTATAGTAGTTAGACTTATGAGTGACATGTGGGCCAGTGAATGAAGTGATGCATATTTAGGTCATTTAAATTTGATCAGATGGTTTATGGATTTGTTTTGAAAATGTAACAAATTGGGTGGGGAAGATAAAAAGATAAAATTAGAATGCTCAGTTTTTCATTTTGTTTTTCAGTAAAATGTGTATGTGAGATATTAACATAGATAGATACACACTGCTTTGAGTACCAGTGAAGCAAAGACTATGAATAGTTTTCATTATGGCCTTAATTATTTCAAGCTTTGATCCAACATTTATAGGTAAATGTATCATTTGGCTGGGTGAGACAGGAAACCATTTGCATTTCGTTGTTGTAAGTATCACCATCAGGTTTGGCGCCAATAGTGAGTTAAAATTTAACATCGCATCGGCACTATTTCAGCCATATAGCGAGTTTTTGGCGGCAATAATAAGTTTTTAACTGGAAATTATTCTGATGACCAGAAAAAGCAGGCATGCGAAAAAAATAATTTCCAGCTAAAAACTTTGGCGACAATAGGGTCGGGGGATCAGTAAACCTTGTAATAAAAACGTCTTTGTAGGTTATTGTTAGGCTGTGTATGGTCGTAAATATTTATGGGTAAACATGTGTGGCAGTGAATAGAGAGACACTGGATGAGCGCCTTTATGTTCATCAGTGTTTGTACCAATCTTTACTCCAATGCAATACCTCTCTGCGTGAAGATCTGACAGCACTTCCATAGAAGGATGTGTCAGGTGAACACTGAGCGACCTTTGACTATCCCATCTAAATGAACAATGCATGGGTTCTTGAGCCAATCAGATTTCAGCTTTATAAAATGATTTGGCTTCATTTCTTTACCACCTTAATTTGGCAATTGTGATTTTAACAAAAGAAAAGCCAAGCAGAAAACAAATATATCTTCAATGGTACTCCATTTTCAGAGTAGAAGCCATGGATCTAAACAGTAACAGGGTGTATAAAATATCCACAACAATATAACGGCGGAGATTTCATTTTGGTTGGAAAGGTTGTTTAGCTCGAGATACAGAAATCAGATATGCTGGCCTGAATACTTCACTTACTTGTACTGAGAATGTAGAAGTCTTAACACTGATTGGCTGATCAGAAAGTTCACCTGACATGTTCTCATTTGAAGGTGTTGTCAGATTTTCATGCAGAGACTTATCACGTGACAGTGGATGAGACGATGCAGACGGCAGGCAGTATATACAGTGTTAGTCAAGGTGACAGCGGAGTTAATGGGCTAGAGTGGACAACAAAATGTTTATACATACATCCAAGTTAGCCTTGAAAATGAAATATCTTAATTCAGTACAGTTTTCAGGTTACACAGAAGTCAGATGCCATCACCACTGAGCCTCACTGCACTACTGCTGAAAATACTGCTCTTGAGTTGTAACTCACACACTATCGAAAGAGAACCGTTAGGCTCTTTGAGTGTGTAAGTTGGGCTTAACGCTGCTTTGAACAGTATTCCAGTTATATCACGGCATGTCAGCTTAATGTGGGAGGAAAGCCTGAAGTGAATCAAGTTGCAGACAATTGTTTACTACCTTGGTGAAACCTACGAGCAAGGGTATGGTGCTGACAAACCTAGAAACATAACTGAGGCAAAACAGGATTCAAACCCGTAAATAGGTTCCTGGCATGCCAAAGGGATGCAACTCTGCACCATGAATGACTGTGCCCCCTGTGCCCCCTGTGCCCCCTGAGGCACTGTAGCTCATCTAGAACTTTTGTAAGGACATACCATCATTGTCAGGAGTGGGGTTATTATTTTTTGACAATAAGAAAAATGTAATTCCCACCAAATATGACAACTTGATGCCTTCAAACATATATCCATCGTTTTCAGAAGTAGAAACTAACATTTTTAGTCCATTAGTCCTTATAATGAGGAGCAAAACCCTCAAAAATGGCAAATTTCTACAGACCTTATGAACCCTTAACTATAGGGCAGTTGGGCAAGGACTACAGGACTAGTGCCAATTTCTAATGTTGCTTCTTTCCTTTGTGCATCCTTAACATGTTCTGTCATTAGGTCTCCCTGAGCCATAAAATGTTAAAAGTTTATCATGAAAAATAAACCATGACATCAGCTCGCTTCAGAGTTGTTACAGTGCCAACGGCATATCTGGCTGTCACCTTCCACCAGTCCTACATTACCATCCCAATCAATTATAGAAGAAAATGTGCTAATATCAGCCCCTTTGCAAGCATGAATATTAATCATTCTGATCTGGAAAATAAAGAAAAGTATTTTCCATTTTCTAAAAACAAAAATGCTGTATTTTATCTCAAGGATATTTGAAGAAGCTATTATTGGTGTTTCCTGAATTGAATTCAACAACCCATTCAAAATAAGTCTAAACGCAAACTGTTTCACTCACTAATTTCCCTAACCTCAAAGAGTTTGTGCTTACTTTTGTCATACTACTGTATTTTCTTGAGTATAGTGTGCACCCATGTATAATGCGCACCCCCCTCTAGCGGATTCAATATTTTGGAGAAAAAAAAGATTTGAATATCAAGCACAGAAAAAAATTACACCGTGAATCTACCCCTTCAGCGAATTCCGGTCAACGAACGGGTGATGAGAAACTTGGTCAGTACAAATTTGAAATTTGAGATAAAAAAATCACCAGACATGTTGATTTACCGTTTTAATTGTATTTTTTGTTCTGCTAGGCATTGTTTTACATCCAGGGATTAAGATTACCTTGTGTATTTTCTCTTAAACTAAGCCAGACCAGCAATCAGCTGTACACATGTTTTCTTGGAATCTACTGGTGATTCGGTCAAGACACACCCAATGGTATAACTTTAAAGGATTTTAATGCAAGGATCGGCAAAAATTGTATCTGAAACTATTTTTTTATCAGGAATAATATATTCCAATATCTTGTTAATTTAGTTGCAGCTTTTACTAAACACATTTAAAATAATAATAAACCTAAACGAAGCAGCTGATCGCTATTGCCGGTTATTATTTTTCACATGGAACCAGTCCGACCAGTCACCGTCAAGGCCCCTGCGCATACTGTTTTCAATTGAATGTTAGGTTACCTGTTGATTTAGCCACATAGGAATAATGTCCCTTAGAAAACTTTTATTTTATAGTGCCAAGAGATTTTCCGACATGTTTGTTTACATAACCACTCACACATCAGGAAACCTCTGCCTGAACATTTTGGGAAAATACAGAAGTCAAGTGATGTTTTGAGAAATCGTCACCTCATTTGCATATTTATCCATAAACTGTTCTGTATAAATACATGGTCTCTGGTATATTGCATCAATGACACTATCTATTGTATGTTGAAGCAATTTATATTTATTAACCTAAAGTGCCAAACAAAATAAAGAACTGCTCATTGCCATAAAACAAGGCCTTTGAACAGATCAAACATTTTCTCACCTTGCTGTTGCAGTCATTGAATCAAACATCTTTAGAAGAACTACCTACTAATCACTTCTATGAAACAACATCAAGGTAACGTACATCTAGGGGAGGAATTGGGGAACTATCTTCATGGGAAAATAATAGTCCAAAACATGTACAACATCTACAGTAAGGAATTGTTTCATACAGACCTTATAATTAATTATCATACCTCCATGTCAGAATGATGGGGTGAGGTGAAATGGGGTTAAACTGCACGTCCAAGATTATTGCACTTATTTAGCGACTTGCATGCACGTGTGTGTGTGTGTGTGTGTGTGTGTGTGTGTGTGTGTGTGTGTTTCTGCTTGTACTAGTTCAGATTGATGCCGATTTATAGTGCTAGCCCACTGAGATACCATGCCGCAGTTTAAAATGGATACCTCACTCAGACACAGTATACTGACCAGCTGACCAGTCCTTGTTTTAGCCCCTTAATGCCGAGCACCAGCCAGGGTAACAACAAGTACCATCTTTTAATAACTTTTGGTATGACGTGGCCGAATAATACCCTCAGAGATTGATCTGTTTGTTGTTTAACCAAGTCACTGAGCCTGATTCACCGTACCATTAAGTCACATCATACAACAAGCACAGGCTGCTGGGGGCCAATAGCAAACCAGGACACCCACGACAGTCTCACATACAGATCTTAAAGCACACAGGGAACACACAGGGCTCAAAGATTGAGTGTACCAACTTTCTGATATTGTCATATTTTAGCATTTTAGCATTTCTCAAAGATGATTTGGTCAGTCGAAGCAATATGCTATGCCACTGTTGCATTTCTGAGAACACTACAATTTGATGTCACAAATTGATAACATTACATCATCTGTACAGAAGATTTACATCAGTGAAATTTGTTTAAAGGTGCTGAAGCTTTATCTCTCGTCTTTGTTCCTTTCAGAAAATGACAATGGGTAATGTACAGAATAACCTTGGCTCAGAGATCACTGGTCTCATGACAGATTAACTATAGTCATATGAATGAATCGGCGTTCTTTAACTTCTTTTGAGTAGTATACAATTAATACAATTCCAGCACTTTGTTTGAGAAATGTTAAATTGAGTACTTTTCATTGAACAGGGTTGAATTGAAGCAAATTTAAGTTTCAATAAGAAATAATAGTTCAGAGGTGACAGAATGGACTGGATGGTCGGGCTCCTTGACTTGCTGATTGGGAGTCATTGTATCTGATGACGTGGATTGTTGTTCACTTTATCGGTATCAAGATTGTCTGCTATAGACTAGTGCTGGGATGAGTCCAAATTTACTACCCGGGTACCCATCACGCTATTACCCGACCCTACCTGGTTACCCGCTATAGGTCTCAAGAGTTGGGTACAAAATGTCCGATTAGGTATAGTTTGACCGTAGCCCTGGTAAAATGTATTCAGATATACATATAAAACGATCTGGTCATGCATACACGGAAGTTGACTGAAGTTTTATCTTTATTCAAACCTTTAAATGTCCGAAGGAATGGTGCTTAGGCAGAAAGAAACGCGAACATTAGTGACTTGCAGTGTAACCATGGAGTTCTAGATATTTTTTTGTCATTATACAATATATCATGTGACTAACCATGGGTCCGGGTGGTCCTGTGGGTACCCGGGTCCTACTCAGTACCCACCTGACCCGAGTACCTGAGTTACCTGTTCCAGCCCTACTATAGACTTGATTATTAACAAACAAACTTTGTCAGCAACTAAGCTTTCCAACAATGTAACCTCTGAAAAACTATTTTCACTTTCAAACATGTCAGATTCTTTTCATAAACTCAAATAACATACAGTTTGGTTAAAAATTTCATCACTGATATAAAATATCAAATGTTTTTTGGCAAAGTGGTTATTTTATACCACACTCAACAATAACCATGGCTTGGGAATAATCAAGTTTGAACCAGACAATCCAGTGATTGGTATTATGAGCAACAATCCACGCTGTAGGTGTACGATGATACGCAATCAACCAAGTCACTGAACCTGACCACCCGATTTAGTCATCTCTTACGACCAGCATTGGCCAGTTGTAACCTGGAATTCCCACAAATACAAAACAAAATGGTATCAACAAAGCATAAAGTTATTTAAACAATTTTAAGAAAAGATAATATAAAAGTGATATGATAATTAGAAAAATTGATTGTGTCAAGATTACGAACATTCGTAAAGTGATGTGACATTTAACAGACAAATATTCAAAAAGGAGTGAGTGAATGTAAAAAGTGAAAGGGGAGGTAACTGGGATCTAATGGAAGTCAATATTCAATGAAGTACAGGTGTGTCTATGTGTAAACAACAGACCATGCTATTTATTCTACTTGAGAGAAGGGCCACCAAGAACATCCACACTCATTTCACTATCTACCAGAAGTGGAGGTACTGGTATTATGCTGTGTCAGCAATATTGCAGCTCGATCAAAGCTGCCTAATAATTGTGTCCAGGCCAAGCATGCAGACTGCCATCAGGTAAAACGACAGGCAATCATCAAGGTTACACACTGTAACCACCTAACCCTCATTTTAGTCAGGGGGGATGGGGACCTATTCTGCCCTGAATCCCTGCATCCATGCAGGGGTCTTCAAGATGTACAGATCATTATGTAATTAAACCCTAAAACTAACCAGCTCCATCCCCACCTTTTCCTGAATAACCTAAACTTTCCCATCCGAAACATGGAACATTTGATCAAATCAGGGGACAGCTGACCTCACCGGTTTAATCACACCATTTCCGGTTTGGGAAAACATATACCCCAATGCAAGGCATGTCTTAAGGTACCTTAATACGACAGTTATATGCACTTTCAGTTTAATAACTTTCTTCTTGTCACTGTGAATATAATTTTTGAGCTTAAGACCTTATCATATTTTAATGACATTCCAAAGGGCTGCATACGTCTAATATGATATCAAAGGAAGAATGTAAATGTAAAAACGAAAATATGGCATATTGATATACTCATAGACAATATGTCACTGTGACCTATCCTCACCTGTGACACATTCATATTCAAATGATATACCAACTACATTAAAAGTTAAAAATATATAATGCCTCCAGCCACATTTTAAAAAATTTGTTTGGAAATCTAATATTGTGGCCTTTTGTTTAGTTTTTATAAAAAATCTCATAAATTATTTTGGCTTTAAATCTATTAATGTGTGACACATGTATACCTCCTGTTAGGGTTTCCATGGTTACTATTTTATTAAACCTCACATCCTTCTATAATACAACACCTTATATCCATTCAAGAAAATTGATAAAAATTAGTTTAAAACAGTGAAACCCCCAAATCTGACTCGGGGTGAAACATGAAGGCAAATCAGTGTAGCTGAACAAGCATGGTTAGTCACAGACCAACAGAAGATTGAAATCACTTACTAAAAAGTCCTGCTCATGCAAATAACAAGGAAACAAGGAGAAGGAATTAAAATCAAATATATAGCATCAAGTGAACATTAAACATAAATATTGGCCACAGGAAAATGTGATCAAACAGATTCAAGAACAGAATTTTAGCTGTGCTTTGAGCAGAGATGACTTGGATGACTTGTGAATTGTCAAGTATTCTTATTTTGATGACTTTACAATATATTCTTGTTACATAATCTAAAAGTTATACAAGGAAATATTTCAAGAAAATGAAACATGACATTTTATTTACCAAAGATAAAATATTTTCAGGAAAGCATTATCTTGTGATTGAATTTGGAGCTGAGTGCCATGTTTGACCGTATAAATGCTTGGCAATAATCCTAAAATCATGCTGACAGATGTATGTGTGATATCTACAGATGTAATCTCAGTTAAATATTCCTTCATATGAATATATCTCAAGGAAAGATTAACATATTGATTGAAATACTGATGACAGAATGATGATTCATTAAAATGGATCAGTTCAACAATGAACAGAAATTAGAGTTAGCCCCTTGATCTATCACAAGGTGGCACAAAAATATTAGTTATTAGATTACAAAAGGCAAATCTTGAGCAGAAGTTGTAAAATAAATCTACCAATTTTTAGTATCTTTACTGTATGAAAATAGTATTCAATGCATTTATAAGGCCAAACTCGGTTGAAAATATACCATGAGATTATTGAGAATATTATATATCAAAGAGACTGGTAAAACCTCCATTTATGTCATTTTACACTATACAAAAGGTCATTAGTTCAAAAAAGTGTTTTCAGCAACGAGGGTGCAAATAACACAACTTGTACACTGAACAGAGGAATGTACCATGGCTCTTACCTCGGCATTGTAAAACTTGGTTTTGACATCAAGTGGTTTCAGCACCTACAACACACACCCTCTCCTTCATCACAACTGTTTCTCAAAATTCAACTCTTGCACCAACAAGAACAGGTAAAACTAAATATGTTTAGTGTCAGCTTCAATAAAATTGGATCTTTTACCCTTATTCCATGCCTCTCTCCGTCTTAATCTGACACTGAACCCACCAAAGCTGACTGATCAAAGCTCCAGTAAAATATGCACTTTAGCTAACCCCATGGTGTTGCGTGTTTGTCCACACAGGGGTTTATCTGGACCCGCTCAGAGGCCAGTTTTCAGCCTTGAGTCTGCAGCAAATGCCATTCAAAATTCCCAACTAGGAATTATTAATTTCCCAATTTATGTTTAATATAGTTACATCTAATGGCTATTTAGATATAAATTGTACACCACAGATAACAGAACCGAAAAAGATGAAGCAGCTTTAAAGCTTAGTATTCCATTATTGCACTGAATGTAAAGTACTTCCTCAGAATTTAGGAAAGTAGGAACTTTAAAATCCCAATTTTGAACAAAATAATAATTTTTTACGAATTTGGCTGTCAATGGCACTTAGTTTAGAATTTTAGATAAATCACTGTCACAGGAATCCTTGGTGTTATGAAACTATATGTCTTTCTAGGTACTAAACATCTCTCTACATGTAGACAAATACCCCAGGAATGCATACCATCACAGAATAGTATGCACCCCACTTCCATCTACTGTGTTGTATTTCAATGACAAAATCAATGTAATCAGCAATTATTGGGTCCTACGTTATCAGTATGAGTTTGACTGTGCATCCACAACTCTGAACACACTCTGTACCTCCTATACGTCTTCATGGTTTACTTACACATACGTTGTTTGTTGTATCCAAGAATCCATGATGTGGTGATTATTTTAATCAGTATTTTGTTTCCTATAGTTTATCCACCCAACAGACTGCTCCTGTTGTTATCTTACCTGAAACTTGAAGAACTTCCGGAACTGCAACTTTTCCCCCGACTGTGGCGTATAGCTGACAGCACACACCAAGCTGGAACATTTGGGTGGGGGAGTGAGTGAGAACGAAGAGTGAATGTGTGCCCAAAGAACATTATTGAGGAGACCTAACCTACAGTATATCTTGTCTTCTCTTTCAATATGTACAATGAAAGGGAAATAGCAATAGCGAAGGGTCAGTACTGGATATACATACATGTGCGTGCCAAGCTCCTTGACCTCATGGTGTATGACGTCATCGATGCTGTGGTCCGGCAGGAGCTCCATGATTGGCTGAGAGTTGATGCTGGACAGCGACAGTCGCTGGGAGCTGGTCTGCAGGTCTGCCTGTAATAACGAGTACAGTAGTTTCAGTGCAAGAGGAATGGATCACCATGGACTGACTATAACAATTGGTCATGTGCATGGCCCGTACAAGGGGCGACTAGCAGGTTCAGTTGACTATACAACTCAAAAGAAGTTAAGGACTTCTTGGCATGACAAATTAACTATAGCAATATGAAAGAATCAGGTGATCCTTAACTTTGAAGTAGTATATTTCAAGGGTATCACAATAGTTAAAAGCATGATTGATAATCTATTGCAATATTGGTGGGACTATCGCAGTATTGCAATATTTCGAGTAATTTTACTATCCCACTATGTAGATTTCATAGCAATATTTGGGGAAGGCCAACATGTCCGCCTAGTGCATAACTCCACAAACTGCTTGGGAAGTTCAGGGAGCTTCAAGCCTCTGGAGTTATTAATATCTGACTGTCTCACGAACAAATTCTCACTGACCATCTATGTGTTTCTTCAAACAAGTTTTGGATCAAAACAAAAGGAAAAGTTGACTGACGTAGCTTTTCAATCCATTTTGTACAAACAAATCATTTCCAGCAAGTTAATTTCTATTTTGACGGCCATCTATCATCGGCTTTCATTCTTTCCCATACTTAAGTGGAAAACATCTTTTGGAACACAAACATGATCAAACTGTGTAGCTGAACCTGTACGAGTAGTGAAGCACTACCTACTTGCCTATATCCTCATAGCTCAAACTAGAGTTATCCCCCTTTGACTAACACACTCAAAACCTTGTTCAGCTTTTTGGAAACCAAAAGTCTTTTGACACATTCCACACAATAATATCAAAGTCCAGGTTTCATAAATGTGCACAGAAGGTAACTATGGTTATAGTTACACCACTGAATATGGAGTTGTAGGTATTTCATCATTACAGATCTACAAACAAATGTTAGCATGCTTTCTAAATATGAGGCTGTTGGACCTGTGTTGAACCCAGAGCTCAGTACAGTTTAGACAGCATGCCTAGATACCAGTGAGAAATAATCAAGAGTTGCATCCCGCTATGAACATATGTGATAGAAGACAACATTTATTTAAGTATTGACTTTCTTTGCGTTTATAAACATATAAATGTAAAATCTAGTGCGCATACTGTGTAAATCTGCACAGTGGATTTACACAAAGTGTGCACACCGATTTCTATGTTATCGCAGACAGATATTGAAGTAAATTCTTGTAAATAGATATATGAACAATAACAACTTCACAGAAGGCTTATTTAATCATTAACACACAAAATGTAGAAAAGGATATGAAATCAGTGACATCGTATAGCACAATAATGCGATCAATTCCCTGCCCATTCTATTATCAACCAATGAGCAAATAGTAGTCTGCTTATGGGCGTGGCGAAGCTTTTGGGGGGGTTTAAGGAAGGATAAACACAAAAAGAAAACTGCTTGGCCATCCCATCAAATGCCATGGAATCATTTACAAAATATTTATTTAAATCTATACAAGTCAGCTCCCTGTATCTACTTTATTTACAAAGTAAGTGAAAATCATATCTTTATAACCAAAGATAAATGCACAATTCATTCTCATTAACTGAGATTTATGCAAAACATAAGAATGAATTTGGAAAACGTTTTAGTTGTAAGCATGACAGAATAAATGCTCAGCCATGCTTGTTAAGATGTGATGGCTATTTACGCTGAATTATGAAAATAAAGACATGGTTGTAAGAAATATGATTCTGAATTCAGTTTTCAAAAAAATCATTCATTTTACATACATTTGATAAGAAGTGAAAGTAAATATTGTTTTGATCAATGTTGACTGAATAAAAGCATTTACATTTCACGCAAATTAACTTCTATTGTTTGGCAAGTGATCTCACTTCCACGAAATCAATGGCAGCTAGGAAATGCCAAATATAGCACATTCAAATGAGTTAGTACACTGCCTTTTTCCAGCAAAACCCAATAACATACGACAGGTTATTGATGAGAACAGCTTACCAGATGTGTGAAAAGTTATTAGGAACATCAGTTACTGGTCATCCGGGATAAGTTGAACCAATTCACAAAACGAGTTTGAGACAAGTAGGTTGTGTACAGAATTTAGACACACATTTGGTTTGTTACACGTAGAGAGGGTGCACGCATGGTGTGCACGTGCAAGTCATGACTACGCTCCCATTGACGCATGTGCTGCTCATAAGACTATTAAGAGGTCGGTGTGACAAGTTGATACCAGAATTCTCTTTAAAGTCGTTTGATAGAAGTTAATTACAAACAAATAAACATGTCAAAGGTCCGTAAGCCTAGCCAAATCATACATTCTCAGGCTCGAGAATTGGCCTATGACATAAAGTACATGGAGCAAGAATGTACAAATAAATCTCAAGCTTTGTCAAAAACTAGAATTGCCATTGGTCTGTCTGTATCTACGCAAAAGCACATCGAGACAGAACACGCACATATCCATCGTACTACTTGTCGCGGACCACCCGCCACCCCTTACTTCACAATGGTACGCAGCAGTGGGCATTGTAATACTATTGCAACAGCTGTACCTATGTTGCAATAGTATCACAATAGTATTTAAACTACCATTTAAACCCTACAATACTAAGTATACAAAGGGTCTATGGTATAAGACATTGACAACTAGAAATATGAAGCCTCTTTGATTCCACTACCTTGAGGACGATGTCCCGGCAGATCTGATCGCAGTCATTGTGGACGCTGATGTAGCTGGAGAATGTCTCACCGAGGAAGATGTTCCTGAAACATACAGATCAACATCTTAAAGCATCCATTCTTTTCTTTCAGCACTATTCCCACATCTCAGTAGCCTGTAAATAACCAAGCCTGTGACCAAGATAATATTCTTATGTGTTCTTTTTTCTTTCAAGAGTCGGCAAATTTGTAAGTCTTATAGTGAGGATGGCAGTCTGTAAATAATCAAGCCTTGAAAGGACAATCCAGTGATTGACATCATGAGCATCGATCCACACAATTGGGATACGATGACATGCATCAACCATGTCAGCGAGCCTGACCACCCAATCCTGTTAGTCGCCTCTTACGACAAGCATGGGTTGCTGAAGACCAATTCTAACCCGGATTTTCACAGGTAAGACACAATGCAATTTTGTTGATGAGGTACATATTTGTGAATCAGACAATACCTAATTGTATAAAATATTTCCATTGCATATATATTTGGATTTCATTTTTCATAGGATACATATTGAATATGTAACTGAAGTACATTCTGTGCCTAGGGAGACACCATATGTTCCATCGTGAAGTTCACATTTGAATCACAAACACTCAACAAGTTTATCAAACACTGTAGCAGAGTTCACGAAGCAATTCAGTTAAATGAAATAACTGCCTGCCTGCCAGCCCGTGGCTGCTAACGTATCTCTCGGGCTGCATGAAATTTTCCTCCAACTGCCCGACTGTCTGGCAGTAATTTTAAGGCTACCCAGTATTCAGTTTTATTATAACTCCTTGTAGATTCTCAAGTAATTGTTTGCTTTATTTCAACTGTATCAAGACGCAATTTGTCTCTTACTTTCGTGATTTTTCAATATTGAATGCAGGCGGGTAACTTTTAAGATGGGCAGGCAACATTTATGGGTCACCTGCCCAACTGTCTTGTTGGGTCTTAAAATTATTTAAACACTGGCAGTGATACTGTGTATGTCAGCTTAACACATGAGACATTTTCTATTCTAGTTTTAAAAAGTAGCTAAGTCTCTAGTCTTGAGCAAATTTCCTTCATTTTCAGGTCTTTTAAAAATGTTTTCATCTTCAAATTGATAAATATCCTTATGGAAATCAAAAATATTCATTATTACCAGTTTTTTAAAGTGACAAGCTTGTGTCTGGAAAGGCTCCTCCAAAATCAATAAATGATTTTTTAAATAAACGAGGAGCAATAATGTTGGAATGAAGCCATTGCAGGAAAGCATGACAGTTATAAAGTTTGTTTAATTAGTGTGTACAGTCAACACAACTCAGGAAAATGTTCTTCTAAACTGAATCATCTTCTGCTATGAATGAAATTTGATTTTCTAGAATATAAATTTTCCAAATGAATGGAAATGCCATGTAATTGCCAATGCAGTGCTACATGATTGTAAAACTGCAAATTTGTCCTCTATAAATTTGATTAAATCTTAATATCAGCATTCATAGTCATAAGGCTTCCTTTAGCAATACATACTAAACAGCACACTTGTAGGGGTGGTCACTGGAAGTTAATGGAGGCGAATGAAGGGGCATGAACAAGGGAGGAATTCAGATGGGAGGAAAAAAGAAGGGTTGGAAGAGGATGGGATGAATGAATAAGGGATTAATGGTGATGTGGTTAAAGGATGGGATGAATGAATAAGGGATTAATGGTGAAGTGGTGAAAGGATGGGATGAATGAATAAGGGATTAATCGTGAAGTGGTGAAAGGATTGGATGAATGAATAAGGGATTAATGGTGAAGTGGTGAAAGGATGGGATGAATGAATAAGGGATTAATGGTGAAGTGGTGAAAGGATGGGATGAATGAATAAGGGATAAATGAAAAAGGATGAAAAGAGGAAGGGAGGAAAATGAATAGAAGAATGAAAAAGGAATGAAAGAGGATTGGGTGAAAGAAGAATGGAAGAATGAAAAAGGGTGGAAAGAGGATGGGATGAAGGAAGGGATAAATGAAAAAGGATGGAAAGAGGAAGGGAGGAAAATGAATAGAAGAATGAAAAAGGATGGAAAGAGGATGGGATGAAAGAGGAAGGGAGGAATGAAAAAGGATGGAATGTAAAAGGTGACAATAAGATAAATGTATTAAGAGAAGTGGAAAGAAGGTGGGACAAATAAGGAAGTAACAAAGAGGGTGGAAGGAATTGAGAAAGGTGGAAATAGGGTGTGTGTGTGTGGGGGGGGGGGGGGGGGGGGGGGATGAAGAAAAGAGGAAAGAAGAAGGCTGGAAGATGATGTGGGGAAAGAAGTGAGGGCTGAAGGAGGAATGCAGTAGGCAGGATTGAGGATTGAAGGAATGAAGGGAGGAATAAGGATGAGGAATTAAAACAGGAGGAATGAGGATGGAAGAGGGTGGAATGAAAGAAAAAGAAAGAACTGGGGAGGAATGCAGTTGGCTGGAATAGGATTAAAGGAAAGAAGGGAGGATTGGAGAATGAAAAACGAAGAATAAAGAAGGGAGAAATGAGGAAGGGAGGAATGAATAAAAAAAGGGTCAAAGGAATGAGGAATGGACAAATGGAACAATAAAGGGAATGTGGATGGGAGGAAAGGAGAAGGTTGGAAAGGGGATGGAGTAACAAAGAAGGGAAGAATGAGGAAGGGTGGAAAGGGCTTAAGGAAATAAGGAGGGCAGAGAGAAATGCAGTAGGCAGGAATAAGGATGGAAGTAATGAAAAAAATAGAAAGAGGAAAGGAGGATGAGAAGAATAAAGAATAGAGTGGCATAGCAACACATGAAAAGTAAAGTAAATAGTCAGACTTTCAAAGAAGGTGGCCAGTTTGGGGGGTGAATGTTGTTTTATGTCACATTCAGCGATATTCAACCTTGAAATAATCCAACCTGGACCATTGGTTGATGTTTGAGCAAAGGACAATACCGTCATGGTTTGATGGCACAATCAGCCATGTCAATGAACCTGACTACATGGAACAAGCAATAGAGTGCATGGGACCTAAAGTACTCATGGAAATGAAAAAAACCCTGTTTTGCTGGATTTAATAATCGACACAAAGCATTACGTAGATGTAAATATGAAATAACAAAACAACTGGAAAAGTACTAGTCTGGATTTGCTAGTTTTACCTCAGTCCTTTATACAAAATGTACTTTACAGGAGGTAATTTGTAGGCCAAATTGACATGGCAGAAACAGGCTATAGGCATTATGCAAATTAGCCTGAAAAAAAAGTTATCAAAACAACAATAAAAATAACAGCTATGTTTATGTACATAATAATAATGACATGTAAGTTGTTGTTTGAGAAGGGAATATGTTACTTTTACGTTCTGATATTTTGACGATGATTCACGTACTATCCCACAATGCCACTCACAAATCACTAACCACTGACAAAGAACATGCACGTGGGTTTCAAGCACCTGTTTTCACCTGTCGTCAAGGTGTCATAGGTCATGGACATTCACCTTGATCTACTAACACCTGGTTATGCCCAGTTTCACAATAGTCTGTTTTGTTCTTATGTTTACACACTTTAACGTGTAAAAAGACATAAAAACCTTTGATACGCTGTATTTGTGCCAAGGCCCAATTAGTACTAATTGAGTTGTTTGAATATTTACATATTTTGTATATTAACTGCATTTATTTAAAATCTGAGATCGAAAAAACATGTTCATTTGTAATCTCTTACAATAAGCTAGGGGTGCACGGGTGGCCCATTCGTCTAAGATGCTGCGATTCGCTGTGCACGCCAGAAACCTATGATTGTGGGTTCGAAATCCTGGTTTATCCTGATTATGTTTTTAGGTTTGTCAGCACCATACCCATGGTCGAGGCCTTAGTTGCAAATTTGTAACAAATATGAAACATTTGTGAAGGCAACTCGGCGTGTTTCTTTCCCCATGTTACTTTGGGTGAAGATGATTGGGACTAACATGAAAGAAGCTAATCATCCATGTACAGTTTCAGCTTTACTGCTTATTGGTTTTAGAGATGCTCTTAAACTATATCTTAAATTAAATGTAATATGTATTTCTGAAAAAAGCAGAAGTCTTCTTAAGATCAAGAACATGTGCACAATATTAAAAACTCAAGCAAACAGTCCTGGAGAATTGGAAAACATTTATTTTTGCAACATCATCCTTAACGGCCAAAGCCACTCGTGATGATTCAGTCAAATCTGAAACTACTTCTTTTAGTTTGGTTTGTTGTTTTACGCCGCACTCAGCAATATTCTAGCTATATGACGGCGGTCTGTAAATAATCGAGTCTGGACCAGACAATCCAGTGATTAATATCATGAGCATCAATCCACGCAATTGGGATCGATGACATGCATCAACCAAGTCAGCGAGCCTGGCCGCCTGATCCCGTTAGTCGCCTTTTACGACAAGCATAGTCGCCTTTTACGGCAAGTATGGGTGAAACTACTTCTAGATATTATTATGCATGCATATCAGGTTTTCTTAGCCTTGTGGTATTTGGATAAAAGATCTTTTCAAATCAATTCTTTTTGCCTTTTTCTCACTTGTTTCATCTAATCTCTTGCGTGAGTGCATGCTTGTGTGTGTGTGACATAAGCTCATTTGAATCATAGGTGCAGGTGAGAATAAAGTCAAAAATGGTAAAAAGATTTTGCAGAAAACAAGACAGACAAAACAACACTATGATCCCATATGGACCTTTGTGGCATGGAAGCTGAAATATTGTTCCCATGAAAAAGATACACATAGTCACAGAGTAGAGAACTACATGCAATACTCCAGGGACATTTATGCTCTGACTCAAGAGAGACTATAGATGTTGATACCAAAACAAAAATGTCTGAATATGCATGAATGTCGCTAAATGTCCTGTGCATGACAATACACGTGAGCAGAAAGGGAATTCCCTCGACCGTAATACTGTGATTCCCCGACATTCCATAGTAATAAAAGTAGTCCGCTTCAGTGGGCGTGGCTTAATATTTTACATTCATTGGGAAATGAATGCAATAACATGTGACCAATTCAGCTAAACAGTATGCAGGAATTTCAGTGAACACAACAATTATTTCATTATGATGCCTTGAATCTTCTTGTCGGCATAAACATGCATACAAAGGTTCAGCTAACTTAGACTTAAGGTTTAATGAAAAGAAAACTTCTTGTGAAAAATAAATAACAGTAAAATCAGGAGTTGAAGAAAATATGATGCCATCACATGAAACATTCATTGAAAGTTCAGCTACCACAGTAACATATGTATTGACATGGTTGAGTCAAATTACTTTTTAAAGATAATATACTAAATTTAATTACAAATTGAACAAACAATGCAGAGTAATGGCTTTTCCAGTTTGGCTGCCATGGAAAGGGAAAATCAGACCAGAAGTGGGATTGAGGTGTCATCATTGATGGGAATAAGCAAAATTTTGAGAAGGCACATCAGTTAAAGAAGAAATAAATAGTCAAGCCTAATATTAACAGTTTATTCTGTCATAATACAAATTTCAGAGATGTTGCTTATAGTATGGAATCGTTACCCAAAATTCTGCGGCAATGTCAGCATGTCTCCCAGAGGAAAGCATTCTAGACCCCGTGGCTTTGCAAGGTCAAGGTTGTTCTGCTGCAGGAACTGATCGCCACACAGATCACGTGACTCGCACTGGATTGGATGAAAGGGCATCAATGTCGGCTTTGTAAGCCGCATCACTGCAAGAGAAAGGGATAAACTCAGCAAATCATATGATAAACAGAACTCAAAAGTAACACACAGATCTTCAGTTGGAGTTCTTCAACCCCTAAACAAAGCATGCATCCCTTAGCCATGCCAGGATCCGCTGTTCCTAGATTCGCCCTGATTATGATCCTTCAGGTGCGTCAGAGCTATACCTGTGCTCATGGGTTTCACTGAAGTGGCCTTTGTTTGACACCTGCGTCACTTCCAGCTTTCTCCCAAGCTTAAGTTGACATGCTGTGATAGAACTGTGTTCAAAGCACTGATAAATCCAACCTGAGTGAGTGAGTGAGTGAGTGGAGTTTATCACTGCTTTGAACAGTATTCAAGTGATATCACGGCGAGTCAGCTTAATGAAGGAGGACAGCCCGAACTGAAGCAGGTCCTAGACATTTACCACTTTGGTGAAACCCGCAAGAAGGGGTATGGTGCTGACAAACCTAGAAACATAATCAAGTGGAACCAGGATTTGAACCCACAACCATAACTCTGCTCAGAAAATTGTTGCACCGCTTAGACAACCAGTACCGCCAAACAAAGCTGAAGCTAAAAGAATAGGAAGAGTTTGATAATTCTATACACAGGAACTGCATACATGTAGATACATCTGCTGAATCATTTCAAGGTTGGCCTTGAGGATAATTTCTCAAAGTAGTGTGTGGTTACATCAGCTGTGAATGAGAGCCTCAGTGATTAACATTGAATGGTGCAGTCAGCAAAATTTCAGCTGTATTATAACCATGAAAACCAGAAGTTGACTGCATGAGCATCAATGAACACCATAGGGGTCTCATGACATAATATCAGTCAAATCACACATCATGAAAACCGGATCCTCATTATAGCCAGTTGTTGTGATGAGCATGGGGCTCTGAGGACATGGGTGTCCATAAAACGTTCATCACTGTGTGTATGCTCCACTAATAGAAGCATTCCAGCAACATCCCATCGGAAGACACAAAGAATGGACTTAACACATTTTGACCATGTGTGGAATCAAACCTGTCTCAGCCATTTTTAAATTAAATTTTCAAAATGAATTTTGAACTCATACAACATAAATGTGTAACCACGCATGTATAAAAACTGATAAAGATAAGCTGTGATGAGTACATCCTTTTGATAAAATCTGCAAAGTGCTGACTCGTTAATTTACCAGCCAGACATTAGTCAGCTAGGATCTTCAGTTGGGGTCAGACCACTAAATCACAGCTGACCTTCACCTCTGACATAACAACTAACAAGCCAAGTATCACTTACAATGGCTAGACTGTATACTATATATCGGTATGTTCCATGTTTGTATGAGGAATTTCCTTTGAAGCAAATCATCTGTACATAATCCCAAAGGTTGATCAATTCCTCCCCTTACAGTTATCACACACGCCCCTTCCCCGAGTAGTCAGGTCTGGTGCTTGTCTGCATGACAATGATGAACCCAGCCCCACATCCACTTTGTCCAGCAACTGATATACCAATTAATCCAACATTAACATCATTGAAACATTATAGCAAAATCTTCTGGATGGTTAAATGTTTCCCTCTAAATATGTGAATATATCACTACAATGATATTGTGATGAATCAGGCATCATATCTAAAGGCAAATCAACTTTGTTCCCACCTTATTCTAAGGTAAATGATACTAATATAAAAAATCAAATCTGAAGTCATTAAGTTTGTTTTATTCCAACCAGTGAATATTTGCATGTTCACAAGATCAAACCCATTCCTTACCAACCTATGGTCTCTGGTCTTCTGACCCTTGAAAATAGCTTAATTAGAAAAGAGATTAGTCATAAACTATACATGAAATAAAATCAAAATCTACCTGAATTCAAGAAAAATATTTTGACACAAGCCTTTCCCCACCCCTACCCAGTATGCTCTATTCCTTCCAACAATCCTCCACCTTAACCCACAATCTTCCACCTTAACCCACAATCCTCCACCTCCAAGCACAATCCTCCACCTTAACCCACAATCTTCCACCTTAACCCACAATCTTCCACCTTAACCCACAATCCTCCACCTCCAAGAACAATCCTCCACCTTAACCCACAATCCTCCATCTCCAAGCACAATCCTCCACCTTAACCCACAATCTTCCACCTTAACCCACAATCATCCACCTCCAAGCACAATCCGCCACCTTAACCCACAATCCTCCACCTCCAAGCACAATCCTCCACCTTAACCCACAATCCTCCACCCCCAAGCACAATCCTCCACCTTAACCCACAATCCTCCACCTTAACCCCCAATCCTCCACCCCCAATCACAGCCCTCTACCCTAATCCTCCTTACCCATCCATAACCCCCATCCTTACCCACAATCCTCCACCCCACCCTAAACCCTCCACCCCACCCTCAATCCTCTACCCCCACCCCCACCCACAATCCTCCATCCGTCAGCTTTCACAGTATAAGCTACATCAACCAGACAAGGTCTTCCATGCAAGCTGCAGACAGGCGAGTAAGTCCCAGGCAGAGCGGGATCCCTGTCCTCAACCCCTGGGAGGCTTCTGTATCTACAGGTTTACTTATCCCATACACTTAGTCCACTGGCCAGGCTCTATCTTATAATCAATGTACTGACTCTGGTAGCCAGGGGAGAGCAAACACTCGGTCTCAGACCTCAAACAGTCTCCGTGGATGTTCATGGCTTGGGACAAACTGTCTAAGATGGAAAACCTCAGAAGGTTTCTGTGACATGTGCCATTAACTAATCGGAATTGTCTGTAGTACAAGCTTCCTGTGTGGAGATACTACAGTGAAGAAGCAGGGAAAGTGGTAACACTTTATGGCAACATCTCTGGCACACACCCTCTCAACTTAATATGTTGCAAGTGTCTGTATCTCAAGCAACGTGATTACTATATTAATCGTGTCAATATTGGCATAACCGAATGGTGAAGCTGATGAGATGGGTTTATCTAAGAATTAGTCAATACATGCAATATCTAGGATTTATTCATGGGTACTTGTAAAGGTGTAGAGATTAATATTCATCTCTGATTCTCATAATGATCGTAAATGAGTGAGTGAGTTTGGTTTAACACCGCTTTCAACATTATTTCAGTTATATCACAGCATCAGCTTGATGTGGGAGGAAAACCTGAAGCGATGCAGGTCTTAAACATTTACCACTTTGGTGAAACCCACAAGCATGAGTATGGTGCTGACAAACTTAGAAACATAATCGGGGCAAAGCAGGATTCTAACCCACAATCATCGTTTTCTGGCGTGTCAAAGGGACTCAACTCTGCACAACGAATTACCAACTCCAAAATGTGAGCTGGTCTTTCTGGTGGCTACATGGTATTTCTATATAACTTATAAGACTCACAGTGAAACTATCGTTTGTCTGTTGTTTAATGCCGTAGTCAGCAAAACTTCAGTTATATCACAGCAGCATGTAGATAATCAAGTTTGGACCAGACAAACCATCGGTTGATATTATAAGCAATATTCGATGTTGTTAAGTAAGTCACCAAGACTTTAGTGGACAAGCACAGTGGAAGCAGATCACATGGCAGGGAATAGTTGCTTCGACTTTACACGGCTTTCAGAATTGTATCACCCATACCTTGGCAGGGTTGGCACCAAGAATGGCTTCACACATTGTACCAATACGGGGATCAATTTTCGGTATTGAACCTGAAGCACTTGACTATCTATTGATGTTTTAGTATCACTGTGTGTCACTGTGACAATCAGAGCATGCTGTCACCATGGCTCGGAATATGGACTCCAGTCTACCAATGAATAGACTGAAAAACAAATTATGTAAAAGATACTGTTCCATTGTACCATCAAGTTTACACAATAATTGACAATTATGAAATGAATTTTGACATGCATTTGAAATTACTTACAAAAAAAGTTATTTGCTGAAGCATGACATTTTTTTCACTTCACTAAATGGAAGCAGATGTGACATATTTTTGCAGCTTTTTTGTGGCACAATGGTATTTTATGCAGGGTGGTAATGGTGTGGACCCCCCCCACCCCTACACACACAGCATGAGAAACCAATCAGACATGACACCATTTTCATGGACTTTTTATCAAAGTGACAGAATTTCATGGATTTAAAAAATAAATATAAATAAACTATACAGCACAATAGCTATCTATAAATTTTGAGCAAGTTAAAATGTCAAAATATACAAAAATAATTAAGTGAAATGTTTAATGATGTATGTAAAACTTTTTCCATCACTAAAATCCAGCAATTCCACAAATGGTGTATTATTGACAGTAAACAGTTGTAACAACTGTATGTGGATGACTAATTCTCACCTGACTGTTGGTCACATGGTTAACTCTGGTCAGGTGTTAGGTCGATTGACCGTCCTGGCATTTTTTGTAAATTTGTCAAAATCAATAGTGTACATCAATCTAGTTGAAAATGATTGCCTAATTAAATAAGAATAATGTTTAAATTCCACGAGTTATTGTGCTTGTTGGATTGTCTGACTAAATAATCAAGTCTGGACTAGACAAACCAGTGATTGATTTTACGACACCATCGAGGTATGATGACACGCAACCAACCAAGTCACGAAACCTGACTACCAATCCAATAAGCTGCCTCATACAATAAGCATAGTTTGCTGGGGACCATTTGTAACCCGGAATCTCACAGAAACATCCCAAGTGTTATGACAGACTATATATAGCAAGCACACAGGACAGACTCTCCCTTTAAGAGTGGGGCCATAAAAATCCCCCTTCTGAATAAGCACTGTCCATAGAATCCTTACAAACACTGCTATGTCAGTGCTTATGAAGTCTGAAATTGGTATATAACTGCAGACTGACCTAATTCTTTGACAGTGAAAGGTCATTCAGCAGCTAGAGCCCACCCCCTGTGGGTCACATCACAATTATACATTGATGGTCATCGGTGTGAAAATTGATAAAACCTGTAATCTCACATCCTTCCTGCTGATAGAATCAATATGTCACA